TACTACAGCCAATATTTGGAAGCAGCCCAAGTACCCATCAGTAGATGAGTAGATAAAAAAGCTGTGGTACACTTACACAATGGAAACTACTTGGCCATAAAAAAGAAGGAAATCTTAACCTTTTGCAACAACATGGATGGACCCAGAAACAATTATGCTAAGTGAAAGAAGCCAATCAAAGAAAGAAAAATACCCTATGATTTCACTTACATGTGGAATATAATGAACAAAATAGAAACAGACTCACAGATACATAGAACAGACTGAAAGCTGTCAGAGAGAGGGGGGTTTTGGGGGACCTGGGTAAAAAAGATGAAGGGATTAAGCAAAGAACCCCCCAAAACACAATAGTACAATGGTGATTACCAGAATGAAAGAAGGGTGGGGAAAGGTGGAAGAGGGCAAAGGGAGGATACGTGGTGGCAGAAAGAATTGACTATGGGTGGTGCAGGCACAATACAGTATGCAGTATCCTGTATTAATATCATAAATGTATAACAAAATTCTACACTTGAAACCTGTTTGGGTTTATAAAGAAGTAACAAAAAATAAAAGATAATATAAACATGTGATATACAAACTGCATATTCCAGATACCAGGAACATTGTATTTGTCATATTCCACAAGACATCTTTTAGACTTATATGATAAAGTTAACTAGATCACTTTCTAGGCTCAAAGAATATCCATTTGCCTTTCTATCGCGGGGTAAAGAAAAACTACCAGGCTGTTCAGACTGAGATGCAGCGTACCAGGCTAGTTCTGAAAAGCAGGCTTCCCAGTTCACACAGCCTGTTAGGTTGCAGGTCTGACCCAGACCAAGTTCTGTCAGGGCTGGCTGTGTCTGCCGTGCTCACTGCTGTTTCCCTAGGAATCAGCACCTTGCCTGGCACACAGACCACACACAGAGACCTGAGTAACATGGATGAGTCTTAGCATGCATTTTGTTTTAGAAATGTTTATTCAAAAACAGGTAACAGTAAAGAAACACATTCAATAGTACTAAATGAAATATATATATGTATATATATGGTGCAATTAAAATACTTGAAATGGCATGTCTCTGTTATTTCAAGCCAGTATACTTGCTTTCTACATTTTTAAGAAGATTTAGAGAGGAGGGAGGGAAACAGAAATACATGGTTACCTCTTGCACTCCCCCTACTGGGGACCTAGCCTGCAACCCTAGGCATGTGCCCTAGACTGGGAATCTAACACGTGACCCATTGGTTCGCAGGCTGGCGCTCAATACACTGAGCCACACCAGCCAGCGCTCATTGGTTGATTCTTGTATGTGCCCTAATAGTGGATTGAACTTGCAGTCATATTAGGGCGATGCTCTAACCAACTGAACTACCTGGCCAGGACAGCTGTAATTTGTCTTTTTGTTTTCTAAAAGATTTTTTAAATATGTATTTTATTGATTGTGCTATTATAGTTGACTCATTTTTTTCTCCCCTTTATTCCCCTCCACCCTGCACTTCTCCTCCCACCAGTACCTCCCACCCCCAGTTCATGTTCATCGGTCATACATGTCAGTTCTTTGCTTCTCCATTTTCTATACGATTCTTAACCTCCATTTTGTACCTACTGTTTATGCTGCTTATTCCCTGTACCGTCTCCCCCATTCTTCCGCCTCTCTCTCTCCTTTGATCTCCATTTCTAGAATTCTGTTCCTATTCTAGTTGTTTGCTTACTTTTTGTTTCTTAGGTTCAGCTGTTGATAGTTTTGAGTTTGTTGTCATTTTACTGTTTGTAGTTTTTGATCTTCTTTTTCTTAGATAAATCCTTTTAACATTTCATATAATAAAGGCTTGGTGATGATGAACTCCTTTAACTTGACCTTATCTGGAAAGCACTTTATTTTCCCTTCCATTATAAATGAGAGCTTTGCTGGTTAGAGTAACCTTGGTTGTAGGTCCTTGCTTTTCATTACTTTGAATACTTGTGGCCAGTCCCTTGTAGTCTGCAAAATTGCTTTTGAGAAATCAGCTGATGGTCTTATGGGAACTGCTTTGTAGGTAACAGTCTCCTTTTCTCTTGCTGCTTTTAATCTCTCCTTACCTTTAATCTTGGGTAACGGAATTATGATGTGCCTTGGTGTGTGCTTCCTTAGGTCCAGCTTCTTTGGGACTCTGAGCTTCCTGGATCTCCTGCAAGTCTATTTCCTTGGCCAGATTGAGGAAGTTCTCCTTCATTATTTCTTCAAATAAGTTTTCAACTTCTTGTTCTTCCTCTTCCCCTTCTGGCACCCCTAAGATTCGGACATTGGAATGTTTAAAGTTGTCCCAGAGGTTCCTAAGCCTCTCATGTTTTTGAATTCTTCTTTCATTCTGTTCTGGTTGAATATTTATCTCTTCCTTCTGTTCCCAATTGTTTTGAGTCCTGGTTTCCCTCCCTTTAGTGTTAGTTCCCTGTGTATTTTTTATTTCACTTTGTGTTGCCTTCACTTTTTCCTCCATTTTGTGACCGTACTCATCCAATTCAGCGAGCATCCAGATTACCAGTGTTTTGAACTGAGCATCTGATAGGCTGGCTATCTGTTCACCTAGTTCTATTTTTGGAGCTTTGATCTGTTCTTTCACTTGGGCCATATTTCTTTGTCTCAGCAAGCCTCTTACATTGGGAAGGGCAGAGCCTTAGGTACTGGACAGGGTGGGGCAACCCAGGTGGCTGTGTTGTGATGCTGTGTGTGTGGGAGGGGTCCGAGGGAACAATGCCTTTTACTTGGCTCTCTGCTGGCTTTGAGTCACTTCCCCTGCTACCCACAGGCAAATTGGGTCCTACTAGGGCTGATTCCTGGTTGGGTAGGTTTGTGTACGTTCTAGGACCCTGTGTCTCTCCAACACTCTTCTGTGAGACTGGGAGTTTCTCCTGCCACCGCAACCCACACACATTTTCACCTCCAGAGGTTTTGAGGCTTTATTTCCCTGTGCTGGAACCCTGGGTTGCACCGTCTGCCTCACCCCCTAGACTTTCCTCACAGTTTATTGGGCTGCAAATGTGGGACTGCCTGGTCTGCCAGCTGCCGCTTTGCCACATGTCCTCTCCGCCCCAGCTGCCCATCTCCACCCCTTCTATTGGTCTGGATGAATGTATCTTTAGCTCCTTGGTTGTTGGACTTCTATACATTTCGATTTTCTGGCAGTTCTGATTATTTCTTGTTTTGAAATTTGTTTTCTTTTGGCTGTGTGAGGAGACAAAGCGTATGTTTCTATGCCTCCATCTTGGCCATAAGTCTCACTTTCTACATTTTTGAAAGACTAGCTTACTTACGTTTATAGTAAGTCCAAAGTTTTTCCTCTTTGCTTTTATTTACTTTAGACATTTAAATTCTTAGTTTTGCAAGTTAGAACTGGGTGGCCTGGTGTGAGGCTGGGATCTATCACTCCTGAGTTATCCTTCCTAATATTTATCCACTGCACGTGGGTCTGGAACCACAGGACCACCTATTCTGTCTCTCTGCACCTCTCCATGTCTCCACCCTTCCTACCAAACTGGATGAATGTAACTTCAATTCCTTGGTTGTAGGACTTCCATAGTTTGGTTTTCTGATGATGCTAGGTGACAGCTGTTTTATATTTTAACTGTAATTTTTGCTGTGGTTGTGCAAGGAGGCAAGCTGTACTTACCTATGCCTCCATCTTGACTGGAAGTCTCTCAATGACCCATTTCTTATCTCTGCAGCAGAGATGAACATTTTCCTAAGGATGGAGGAGGAATTATCCTCACCAGTAGACAAGTCAGTAACTTGACTTATTTATCTGATGATAGTATGCAGACAGAAAATTGTTCCACTTCTAGCTATATAGCAAAGTTGATACCTAAACTCTTCCTCTCCAACAAAACACAAGAATGCTGGTTAAGATGTGAAAAACAATCTATTAAATGCATAGTAGAATTACATGAAAGTAAGGGGAAATCCTGAGGATCAAAAATGAAGGGAACTGAAAAGTAGAGGTAATTTGTGAGCTGACATACTAGCTATCCTGGTGCAATTTGCCAATCCCATCATTACCCTGTGGGTTTCATCTTTAACAACTACGAGGGAACTGATAAAACCTTGACCATGCAAAAGGTAGTGACTCTCTTGCAAGTTCAGAAGGAATGAAATGACCCTCCTCTCAAGCCCACCATAAAGTTGGTATACTAAGAGGATGACCCCTCAGTGAAAGGGGAGTCGAGAAAACGTTCTGCCACTAGCATTGGAAGATGAGGAAAAGTGTCTGTCTTGGCCTGGGAGTCAGCTCAGTAATTCAGAAGCCAAGAAATTAAAATAACAGTGGTTCTCTGTAAGAGCCCTGGACATAAGTAGACACAAAACTTATCTGGAAGGAATTATTCTTAATAAAGGTCACTCAAAATTCCCACGGAGAAAGCCCTGCTGAAAATAAGCTCACCTTTCAAAATTATAAAATATCTGGGTAAATTATCTACCAAATGTAAGAATCAACATATACTAAAAGGAATTTTATTTAATAGAGCTCTGAGCTATTAGAGAGACTATAAAATAGGGATGTTTAAAGTGATTAATGACATAAAAGGAACTGAAAAGTTAAAAAAAAAATTAGACGTCATGAAATAGTAGGCAGACCTGAAGTATAATACACAGCTAGAAATTAAAAGAAATTTTGGAAAGAAAAAACCCAATGAGTCACCATAAAAGGAGATTATATAAACAGCTTACAAGATAATTCATGAACTAGAAGACAGTTATGTTTACGCCACAGAAAAATAAGTTACATAAAACACAAGGCTTAAAAGATAGAGAATAGAATGAGTAGGTCCAATATACATTTTTTAAAAATGGTAATATTAAATATGCCTTTGAAATTTATTCCCTATAACAACTTTTTTATTCTATAACACTGGGTGATCTTGCTACTGAAAATCCAAGGACATTTCTTAAATGCTAATTTGTTTTCAACATTGCTTCTTATTTTTAAAGTAGTTTTACCATGATACATATAGATGGTTACTATTTTGAAGTGTTTTTTCTTCCTTTTATATATTAATATCAAATAATTTTCATTCATATATAAAATCTGGGGAACAAATTTTAATTAAAGCCACCTCAAAACCAGCAGTGCATTTGTTCTCATTCATTGCGGAGGGCCAGCTGTCAGTGATGATCCTGCATTCCTGCTGCTCCGTTTTCAGCTCAAGTGTAAAGTCAGAGATTCTACTGAAAATGATACAGTATGTACTTGAGAAGAAAAACAGATGTTTAGCCTAGAAATGGAGCATGAATGACAATTATTTCTAAAGTATGCAAGAAGAGATGTTTCTTGAAACTCTCAAAGTATCATTAGGTGACTGATGCGAGTATTAAACACTTAAAAAACACAGCAGGTAAGTTTTCTTAGTCAAATATTAATACCATATATTCAAAATATGTGGGTGAGCTAAAAATAAAGGCCAATGTATAATTTCTGAAGGATGAATTTAAGGGTGATTTATATGCTGAATATCACACCCAAGCTTTCCATCCTGGGAAAAGTCGGCTGAGGTTTTTGGGGTCCATGGCCTGTTGTAGGAGCAAATTCACTTGTCCACCCACACTGAGCACAGTTCCTTCCTCCACTCCTTTGAGTTTCTCTTGCAGTCTCATCAAGACACGTTCAGCTACTTTGTTGAAACTCTGGTCCATTTCACTAATGACAAAAACACAAAGGTATTAAATGTGGTGGGAATAGAAAAAAATCTGAACAAGGTTAGTCAGTCTTTCCTAAAATACTGCTACCTGAGATTTCGTTTGCATTCTTGGTCATCTGCATTCTGAGTGGAGTGGAGCTCAGTTTCATCTTCCAACCTCTGCTGTAAATACAAAGCTTTCAAAGGGTTCATGGTCCAGTCAAAGAGAGGATCATACAGGAGGACCTAGACAAAGAGAACATACGTGTTAGAAGAACTATGTGTATTATGATGATGCACTTAGAAACAGAACCAGTATTATAAAAATACTGGTTATTGAGGCCAATATGGTAGTTGACTGGGGGGGGAGGGGAAAACATTGCACAGACATCTTGTTTCCTTATGGAAGAAACTACACTAGCACGATGCTCTGGGCTTCTTATCCCATTATGAACTCATTCTTCTGCCATGGTTGGGGGCAGTGACATCCCTTGATCCATGTTTCCTTACAAGGTGAAGCTATTAAAAGGAAATAAGCACTAGTCACTTTCTTTCCTTCTCTCCCCCTGTCCTGGGTAAGGGTGTTTACTTTGCAGCACTAATTCTCTCTCTAGGCTAGCCTATGGAATTTGGATAGCACTAACAAGCCTATTTGGACCTCACTCCTAAGCCATGTCCTCCAAAAGTTTTATCAGTAATAACCTGACATTTTGATCTCTATCCTATTCCTAAGGCTCTTTCTTTTTCTTTCAATTAGTCCTAACTCTGAATGGAGGAAAAAAGGTATAATTTACTGAAAGCTTCTTAAAATTCAAGGTTTAGTGTTGCGGTTGGCATCTTAAGATATACACGGAGTACAATCTGAATACTAAAGTAACTGGCATGGCCAGAACAAGTAGCTGTAGGTCATAAATTTTTAGTAAGTGAAGTCACAAGGGGTTTCTGAACTGCCTCTGGTGTTTATAAGCATACAAAAAAAAATTTAATAGGCCTTAGCAAGTGCTTACCATACAGGTCTTAATAATAAGTAAAGACTCAATTCTAGGGACGAGTGATGTTGCAGGATTATCCAGCATTATAAAGTTGGAACACTTTTTTACTGATGTCTTTACTTTGTTTCTCAGCAGGTCTTCTGTCTGGGACTATAGGATGCCTTTAGCATTCCATGTTTAATGTACATGAACAGCAGTACCAAAATCTGGTCATCTGTTTACACTGTTTCAAAGGACATTAAACTTAGGAGGGACTGACTGTGAATATCAGTGGTTTGTCCATAAGTTCTGGTCCTTATGTGACTTCAGGTGGAGCACTGACATGGCTTCAGATTTCAGAGATCCAAACCAGTTTCAGCCCCCAAAAGAGTTATATTTTATTAATCAATGAATGAAAAGGAATGAAGGCCTCAATTATAAAGAGAATATATATAGTCTTTTTGGGTTGAAGTAGAGAAACAATACAATTAAATTATTTCAAACCCAAGAGCTTGCATTAGAAATCACATTTGCAATTTCAGGAATAAAAAAGGAGGTAAAAAAGAACATATACTTTAGTCACTATCAAAATGGAAGTGGTGATTGAAAACAATATAGGAATATAGACTGATTTAGAGCAAGATTTCTCAGTCTTGGCACTGTGGACATTTTGGGGCTATCGCTTCATGGTTGTGAGGGCTGTCCTATGCATAAGATGTTTAGGAGCCTCCCTGGCTGAAACAAGCTGAGTGTTGAGAGGGTATCCTTATCACCCTCCCCCGCCCCCCGCCCCATTATGACAACCAAAAATGTCTCCAGGCTTTGCCAACTATCCTCCAGGAAAGAAAACTGCCCGCAGCTAAGAAATATTTGAGTTACAGGGAGAGATTTCCTTAGTAGACTTGATTAAAAGCTTGGAGGACAGAATGGTTTGTTACGAAGAAAAAAGCGACTGCGAAGGCCAGGAGAGGCAAATATGCTGAGAGGGAAAGGGAAAGGCACCCAAGTCAAAGTGCTCTTAAGGAGGGATTCGGGAAGTGAGGAGATGTTTTCATTGATGTTACATCAGAAACAGTGACTGTGGCTCAATGAAACCTAAGAGAGAAAAAGCAATGGGTAAAGAGAGGGGCCTGGAATGGCATCCGGAGGACTGGGATCCATGCGGCCACCGAGAAGCACCTTCCTAAAGCCGAAGATGCAGTCTTCAATTGGCAAACTGCTCTGAAAGACTGAGACAATCGCCTGAAATGTCGTCGGGAAATCTGAACAGATTCACAGAGGGAAGAGTGGGTACATTAGTGTAAAATACACAAAGCATGAGAAGGTGATTTTGTCAGTGACAGTTACTGCAGGTGGAGATGCAGGTCACCTCTCAGGTTCAAAACCCTCCTATGGTTTCCATCTCACTCAGCAAAATCCAAAGTCCTTACAATGGTGTGGGAATCCCTCGGTGATCTGGCTACTGTTACTTCTCCCACCTGAATTCCTACTACTATCTAAAAAAAGAGGCTCATGAGCACTCTGGCATTTTACTGGTAAATGACTGAGGCCCTGAAGAAACGGCCCTCTTCCAGCAAGTGTCCACTCTGCACACAGCTCCTGAAGGAAGCCCAAATCTATTCAGGCAGGAAAAATCCTCCTGCCTGATACTGAGCAGAGTAAAATACTGGGGAACACGTTAAACTTCTTTGGATCTTAAATAAATGTGAAAAGTTTGCACTTTTTGTGTTAAACACAAAAAGGCAAGATAATTTTGGATTTTAATTTCTACTTCATGGAGGCATCCGGGACATCATTTACTCTTACTGCAGAACCAATGGCAAACTCTAATAAATGACATGTAGGAATACAATTTGAAGTGGAAAAAAGAAAAGGGAACGCATTTTCATTCAGCCTTGGGAACAGCATAGCCTTGTATTTAAATGGTCGACATATTATTGGGATGCATTTCAACACCTCCTTTGTAGCAAAAATCTATATTGCCACCAGCACTCCAAAGATCTATAAAGAGGCCTTTCGTTCATAGGAGTGGACACAGGGCCACCAGAATAGACTGTTAATTTCATTTTACACAGCATACAGCCCTACGTTTGTTATCTGATCAGAGGCTTAATGGTTAGTGCCAATGAATTAAAAACAGTGATTCTCAACCATTTGCCCAATAGGAGAGCTTTTAAAAAATACAAATGTTCCTGTCCCATCTCTAGGAGTTTTGTTTGAATTTGGTCGGCATCAATATTGCAAAAAGCAGTGCGGCACCATACGATAAAGTCTGGCACCACCAAATTGAAGGAACAAAAAGACAGAGAATATAAGTGAGGCATGCTTATACTCTTACTTCCTGTGTTTCCCTGAGAAGGAAGATTCCTCACCTCTTCCTGCACACACCTTTCCCAGGGTTGTGAATGACAGCCTGAGGACATAGTTCTTGCGGGGTAGAGCCAAGGTCTTAAGCATGGGAAATGTGCTTGACTTTCTTCCCTTTCTGCCCTGTTTGACATGAGGCCGTGGGCCTGATGCGGCGTGAGTGCGCTGCAGGCCCACAGCACCACTCGGTGGCTGTCCCAAAACTACAGCAGAGGCCCTGAGGGAGCCCCAGTAGCAAGTCAGTCTGGCCCTCACTCCCCAGCTTTGTTCCTCCACTAACAATGCTGACTCTGATCTCCATGTGTCTGACTAAATGCGTCTGGCAGAGGAAAAGGAGATAACTTGATTTCTCTTAATCCCACAATGAAATCCATTCTGAAAATCATAAATACCAAACAAGATATCTAAGATGAAGTGCTGATTTATGTATTAAAGAGTAGAGGTTACTTATGCCGTACCTCTGTAAGAAACTGGAGGGAACTGGAGGCATTCTAGGCCACTACTTGCCAGTATGTGCAACCCCCGCCCCTCCTGCTGCCCAGCATCATCCCACCACATTAAAATGAAACACTGATCCTCAAATCAGTGACTTGCTAACAAGATGCCATTTATCACAGAGAGGAATAAAGATTTCCTTATAATATACTTTACCTCTACAATGGTTAACAGGGTTTCCTGGGAGTTTCTCATAACCTCCATGGTTTTCTCACAGCATCTACAAACATATTATAAATATGTGTTTGATTACACACCAATGTTTTCAATATGTATCTTTTCTTTCTATCTAGTAGCAAAATACATATCTCTAATATATCTCTTCTATATATCTACTTACCTACCTATCTATCTTCAAGTGAAGTATACTGAGACTATTCTTGTCAATAATTTCCAAATCAGTATCTTAAAAAAGCACAGCACTTGGCAGAGTGGGCTTTCAGTAGATATTTCTAAAATGCATACAAATATATGTCTAATGAAAAGAGCAGAGAACCCAGAAATAAATCCACACTTATATGGTCGCTTTATATCCAGCAAAGAAGGGAGAATACACAATGGACGAATGACAGCTTCTTTAATAAATGATGAGAAAACTGGACAGATACAAGCAAAAAATAAAACTGCACAACTTTTTTACACTAAACAAAAAAAATAAACTCAAAATGGGTTAAAGATTTAAATGTAAAACCTAAAAAACATAAAACTCCTAGAATAAAACATAGGCAGTAAGCTCTTTGATATGGATCTTTGCAATATATTCTTTTTGGATATGTATCTCAATGCAACATTAACAAAAGCATTTTCAAACCAAAAGGCTTTGGCACAGTGAAGAAAACCATCAACAAAATGAAAAGACAACATACTAATGATGTATCTAGTAAGAATTTAATATTAAAAAACTCAACATCAGAAAACAAACTATCCAATTAAAAATAGGCAGAGGAACTGAATAGACATTTCTGCAAAGAGGAAATACAGGGTGGGGCAAAAGTAGATTTACAGTCATTGGTACAGGAAAAAAATGCATTAATTAAAAATAACAATACAAGATTAAAATGTATTTATAGTTTTGCCCCACTGGAAAATAATATAATAATAAATAATAATAAAAGAATAAACTCTGTGTTTAGTATACTCACAACTATAAACCTAATTTTGTGCCACCTGGGACAGATGGTGAACAAACATGAGAAGATGCTAACTCATGGACAAAACCAAAGGGGAAGAGTTGAGGGAGGGTGGGGACAAGGGAAAGTGGTGGGGGGTAGGCAGAGACAAATGTATTTGAAAAAATAAATAAATTAAAAAAAAAAAAAGATGCTAAACATCACTAATCACCAGAAAAAGGCAAATCAAAACCACAATGACATATCACCTCACACCTATCAGAATGGCTATTATGAAAAAGTCAACAAACAAGTGTTGGTGAAAACATCAAGAATAGGGAATCCTCACACACTGCCGATGGGACTGTATAATGGTGTAACCAGTGTTGAAAACAGCATGGATGGAGGTGCCCCCAAAAGTTAAAAACAGCCCTGGCTGGTGTGGCTCAGTTAGCTGGAGCACAGAACTGTAATTGAAAGGTTGTGGGTTTGGTCCCCAGTCCAGATGTAAACGATCCCTGAACTGGGCGTACCTGATCCCTAGTCCCAGTGCGTACCGGGAAGCAAATAACCTGATGTGTCTCTCTTGCATTCATGTTTCTTGCTCACCCTTTCTCTCTCTCTCTCAAAAAGCAATGAAAAAAATGTCCCTGGGTGAGGATTTAAAAAAATTGATGACAGAGGGTGTTTTTAGAGCAGATCCATCTTCTCTTCTTTGGCTCTCCCTCTTCACCATTCCCCACTGTGTCCACAACCTGCCCTGGCTCTTTTTTGCAGCTTCTTCTGCTTCTCTAGTGCACTTCGACCCTTCCATCCCTAGTATCAGCCTTTGGGCAGCAGCGATGGTGCCTGGCACCAGTGTTCTGGCAGCTGATGCTGAGCACATGGAACTGGTAAAAGGAGAGACCAAGAAAAGGAGAGTGGGACTCAGGGACAGGAGGCCAGGAGAGCCCCAATGAAAAGGGAGAAAGCAAGTCGGAGGTGTGCATGCAGCCGAGATCAGGCAGACAAGCACAGTTGCCTCCAGCTCCTTAGAGCAGAATCCCAGTCACTGCAGCTTTTCACCCTAGAGCTGTGCCCAGGGCTCACCAAGACCAAGAGCAGAGTGATTGGCAGAAAGTTCTAAATTGCCTCCTGTAAACAGTAAGATATTGTTTTAAAAATCATTAGGTTTCAAAGAATGAACAGAATTCATTCAACTTCTACTTAAGCACCTGCATGGCAGCTTGTACACCATGGTGGGGGTTGAGCCTCACAGCCATCCAGAGGGTCAATCTCATACACAAGTGGGCCAACAGCAATTAAGGCTCAATTCCAACAGAAGGGCCCACATAATCTACACAAGGGACATTCCTCAAATACCCAGCTCTGGAGATCAAGAAGACTGCACCATTGGGTCCCAAGGGACACCCATTATATAAGGCCACTTCATGAAGAAAGGGACTCATAGCAGATCTATCTAATACAGAGTAACAAACACAAAGAGGCAGCCAAGATGGGGAGATACAGAAACAGCCTCAAATGAAAGAACAGGAGGAATCTCCAGAAAATAAGCTAAAGGAAATGGAGGGAAGCAATTTATCAGATATAAAGTTCAAAGTAATGGTTCTAAGGATGCTAAGGAACTTGGTGAGAACTACAACACCATGCAAATATATAAGCCATGAAAAAGAACCAGTAGGAAATGAAGAATACCATACCTGACATCAAGAATATACTGGAAGGAATCAAAAGTAGAATGGATGAAGCAAGGGATCAAATCAGTGATTTGAAATACAAAGTAGACAAAAACACCCAATCAGAGCAGCAAAAAGAAAAAAGAATTACAAAGAATGAACATAGTGAAAGGGAACTGTGGGAAATCATGAAGTGTAATGACGCCAGCTTCATAGGGATACCAGAAAGAGAAGAGAGAGAACAGGGGAATCAAGAACCTATGTGAAGAAATAACGATTAAAGCTTTCCAAACCTGGTAAAGGAAAATGGCACAAGTCCAGAAAGCACAGAGTCCCAAAACAAGACGATCCCAAAAAGGCCCACATCAAGACACATTATAATTAAAATGGCAAAAGTTAAAGACAAGGAGAGACTCTTGAAAGCAGCAAGAGCAAAACAGTTAATTACCTACAAGAGAGCTCCCATAAAACTGTCAGTTGATTTCTCAACAGAAATATTTCAGGCAAGAAGGGATGGGCATGAAATATTCAAAGTGATGAAAAGCAAGGACCTACAACCAAGATTATTTTACCCAGCATGGCATGCATTTAAAATTGAAGGAAAAATAAAGATCTTCCCAGACAAGAAAAAACTGATGGAGTTTGTTATTACCAAGCCAATATTACAAGAAATGTTAAAGGGCCTGGAAGAAGGAGGAGAAGGAGGGGAAGCACATGAGGAGGTGGGGAGAGGAAGAGGAGGAGGAGGAGAGAAAACAACAAAACACAGAGGAACAAAATTTAAAAAACAAAAACAGAACATAACTCCAGGACAAGAACTAAATAAAATGGAGATAACCAACCACTCAGATGCAGAGTTCAAAATACTCATTATTAGACGCTCCTGGGTACTTCAACAACATAGAAAAGACACTGGCAGAAATGAAGGTTGCATTAAGTGAACTAAAGAAAAATCCACAGGGAACCAACAGTGGAGGGGGTGAAACCGAGATTCAAATCAATAAGAACAAAGCATTCATTCAGAACAGCAAGAAGAAAAAAGAATTAAAAAAACTGAGAATAGAATGAGGATCCTCTGGGACGTCTCCAAACATACCAACATTGAATCATAGGGGTGCCAGAATGTGGAGAGCAAGAGCAAGAGCAAGAAACTGAAAACTTATTTGAAAAAATAATGAAAGAAAACTTCTCTAATTTGGTGAAGAAAATAGATATGCAAGTCCAGAAAGCACAGAGAGTCCCAAACAAGTTCAACCCAAAGAGGACCACACCAAGACACATCACAATTAAAATGCCAAAGGTTAAAGATAAAGAGAGAATCTTAAAAGCGGCAAGAGAAAAGCAGAAGTTACCTACAAAGAAATTCTCATAAGACTGGCAGCTGATTTCTCAAAAGAAACATCGCAGGCAAGGAGTATTCAAAGTGAAGAAAAGCAAGGACCTCTCTAGCAAAGCTATCATTTAGAATTAAGGGCAGATAAAATGCTTCCCAGACAAGGTAAAACTAAAGGAGTTCATCATCACTAAGCCATAATTATATAAATGCTACGGAGAATTATGTAAGAAAAAGAAGATAATCAAAACAATGAACACTAAAATGGCAACAAATTCACAACTATCAATAATTAAATCCCAAATAACAATCAAACAAGCAGAACAGGAACAGAATCATAGATATGGAGATCATTTGTTGGGTTATCAGTTGGGAGGGGGAAGGAGGAAAATGGAGAGAAAGATGCAGGGATTAAGAAGCACAAATTGGTAGATACAAAATAGATGGGGGACGTTAAGAACAATATAAGAAATGGAGTATCCAAAGAACTTATAAGTATGACCCAGCATATACACTGGAGGTAATGAGGGTACTGGATAGAGGGGGGTAAGGGGGAAAAAACTGGGACAACTGTAATAGCATAATCCATAAAATATATTAAAAATAAAGGAATAGGAGAAAAAAACAACAAAGCCCAAAGTGAGTAGAAGGAAGGAAATAAAGATCAGTGCACAAATAGATGAAATACATTATAAAAAAAATTACAAATGATCAATGAAACCAAGAGCTGTTCTTTGAAAGACTGAAAAACCCTTAACCAGACTCATCAGTAAACAGAGAGAGAGGACCCAAATAAATAAAATCAGAAATGAAAGAGGAGAAGCAACAACTGACACCAAAGAAATAAAGAATTGTAAAAAAATACTATGAACAACTATATGCCAACGAACTGGACAATCTGTAAGAAATTAATTAATTCCTAGAAACATATAATCTTCCAAAACTGAATCAGGATGAATCAGATAATGTGAATACACACATTAGAACTAGTGAAACTGAAACAGAAATCTAAAAAGTCCCAACAAATAAATGTCCTGGACTGAATGCCTTCACAGGTGAACTTCATGAAACATTCCAAGAAAAACTAACACCTATCTTTCCCAAACTATTCCAAAAAATTCAAGAGAAGGGAAAACTCCCAAGCACATTTTACAAGGCTAGCACTCTTCTGGCCCCCAAACCAGAAAAAGACACTACAAAGAAAGAAAATAATAGGCCAACACCCCTGATAAGCACAGATGCTAAAATCCTCAAAAAAGTATTAGCAAACCAGATTCAGAAATATATTAAAAAGATCATACACCATGATCAAGAGAGATTTATTTTGGGGGTGCAAGGTTAGTACAATATTTGGAAATCAGTAAATGTGACACACCACATAAACAAAATGAAGGATAAAAACCACATGATTATATCAATAGATGATGAAAAAGCATTTGATAAAATCCAGCACACATTTGTGATAAAAATTCTCAACACCATAGGAACAGAGGGAACATACCTCAATATAATAAAAACCATGTATGACAAAACCCACAGCCAGCATCATACTCAATGAGCAAAAAGTAAAAGCATTTCCCATATTATCAAGAAGAAGACAGGGATGTCCACTTTGATTACTCTTATTCAACACAATACTGGAAGTCCTAGCCACAGCTATCAGACAAGAAAAAATAAAAAGGCACCTGGATTGGAAAGGCATTAAGTAAAACTGTCATTATTTGCACATGACATAATATTGTACTAGATCTAATAAATAAAGCTGGCAAAGCAGCAGGGTACAAAATTAATATTCAGAAATTTGTGGCATTTGCCCTGACCAGTGGGGGGGGTGGTGGTATCAGCCTGTAAAGTGATGAGTCACGGGTTCCATTCCCAGTCAGGGCACATGCCTAGGTTGCGGGTTTAATCCTTTTTTGGGGTACATACGAGAGGCAACTGATCAATGTGTTTCTCTCACACTGTTTCTCTTCTTCTTTGTCTCTCCATTCCCTTCTCTCTAAAAATTAATTAATTAATTAAAAAAGAAAAGGGTGGCATTTGTATACACTAATAAAGAGCTATCAGAAAGAGAAACTTAGCTATTGTAAATAACACTGCTATGAATATTGGGGTGTATAGGTTCTTTTGAATTGATGATTCAAGATTCTTAGGGTATAATCCCAGCAGTGGGATCGCTGTATCGAAAGGCAGGTCCATCTTTAGTTTTTTGAGGAAACTCCACATTGTTTTCTGAAGTAGCTGCACCAGTCTGCATTCTCGCTAACAGTGTACTAGGATTGTGGTACATTTACACAATGGAATACTACTCAGCAGAAAGAAAGAAGGAACTCCTACCCTTTGCGACAGCATGAAAGAACTGGAGAATATTATGCTAAGTGAAATAAGCCAGGTGGTGAAAGACAAATACCATATGATCTCATCTATAAGTGGAACCTAATGAACAAAACAAACAAGCAAGTGAAATTGAGCCTGAGGCATGGAAACAAGAATAGACTGACTGACCAGTGGAGGGGGGAAAGGGGATAACGTGGGAAAGAAGGGGAAAGGGTAAGCCAAAGAACACAAATAGAGGACTCATGGGCACAGACAACGAGGAATCGGGGTGGGGTGGGGAGCGACGATGGGAGTGGGAGGGGACAGGGCAGGGGGGAGCAATGGGGAAAAAGGTGGGATAATGGTGACTGAACAACAATAAAAAAGAAAGAGAAAATAAGAAAATGATCCCATTTCCTATTGCAATAAAAAAATTAAGTTAGGAATAAATTGAACCAAGGAGGTAAAAGTAACATCATTAAAATGTCCATATTACCCAAAGTATCTATAGAGTCAATGCAATTTCTATTAAAATGCCAATGGCATATTTCACAGACCTAGAACAAATATTTCAAAAGTTCATATGGAATAAAAAAAAGGCTATTTTGAATAGCCTCAGAAATCTTGAGAAAGAACAAAGTTGGAGGTATCACAATACCTGATATTAAACTATACTACAAGGCCACTGTAATCAAGATAGCCTGGTACTGGCATAAGAACACACATATATAGATCAATTGAAGAGAACAAAAAGCAAAGGAATCAACAGATGCCTATACAGTCAATTAATATCTGACAAAGGAGATAAAGATGAGTAGACAGTCTCTTCAATAAATGGTGTTAGGAAAACTGAACTGGTACATGTTAAAAAATGAAACTAGACCACCAACTTACATGATACACAGAATAAACTAAAAGTGGATAAAGGAGTTAAATGTAAAATCCTAGAAGAAAATTAGGCAGTAAAATCTCAGACATCTCTTATAACAATATTTTTGCCAGTATGTCTCTTAGTGTAAGAAAAAAAGGAAAACAATACACAAATGAGACTATACCAAAGTAAAAACCATCTGTACAAGGAAAACCATCAAAAAAATGAGTAAGGAACCCACTGAATGGGAGGACCTATTTGCCAATGATATATTTGATAAGGGGTTAATTTCCAATGTATAAAGAACTTACACAACTCAACACCAGGAAAACATAAAATCCAATTAAAAAATGGGCAAAAGACCTGAATAGACACTCGTCCAAAGAGGACATATAGATGGCCAACAAACATGAAAATATGCTCAATGTCCCTAATCATCAGATAGATGCAAATTAAAACCACAATGAGGTATCATCTCATACCTGCCATAATGACTACTATCAATAAATCAACAAATAAGTGCTGGTGAGGATGTGGAGAAAAAGGAATCCTAGTGCGCCACTGGTGGGAATGCAGACTGGTGCAGCCACTGTGGAGAGCAGTATGGAGATTCCTCAAAATATTAAATATGGAACTGCCTTTGACCCAACGATCCCAGTTCTGGGAATATATCCTAAGAATCCCAAAACACCAAGTTGAACAGATGTATATTCTATGTTCATTTACAACAGCCAAGATCTGGAAAACAGTCCAAGTGCCCATAAGCAAGTAAGTGGATATAAAAACTGTGGTGCTATGAATTCCATAGAATGGAATACTATGAGGCTATAAAAAAGAAGGAAATCTTACCTTTTGTGACAGCATGGATGAACCTGGAAATGATTATGCTAAGTGAAATAATCCAATCAGAGAAAGACAACACTGTATGATTTCACTTACTTGTGGAATCTAATAAACAAAGTAAACTGGCAAAATAGAAACAGAGGCATGTATACATGGAACAGACTGACAGCTGTCAGAAGGGATGGAGTACGGGGAACTAGATGGAATGTACTGGAGGGATTAGCCTAAGAATGTATATTCATAACCCACAGACAGACAACACCGTGCGGTGATGGCCAGATGGAAGGGCGGGAGGGGGCTGGGAGGAGGTGGGCACGGTGGGGGCGGGTGGGGGGTGTGATGGAATGGGGACACCTGTAATAGTGTCAACAATAAATAGTAAAAAAAAATTTAAAAATTTAAAATAGAACTACCATACAAATCAGCAATCCCACTTCTGGACACTTATATAAATAAAATGAAAACACTAATTCCAAAAGCTATATACACCCCTATGTTCACTGCAGCATTATTTACAATAGCGAAGATATGGAAGCAACCTAGGTGTTCATCAATAGATGAATGAATAGAGATGTATGCATAACACATACACAATGGAATATTATTCAACAAGAAAAAAATCAAATCTTGCCAATTGCAACAATGCAAAGATATAACTAAATCACTCTCTTATACCATATATGAAAATAAACTCAAAATGGATTAAAAGACTTCAATGGAAGACCAAAACCCACAAGACTCCTAGAAGGAAACATAGGCAGTAATCTCTTTGACCTCAGTCCTAGAAATATTCTTTTCAGATATATCTCCCCAAGCAACAGCAACAAAAGCTGTTATAGACCTAGAGAGTATTATACTAGTGAAGCAAGTCAGACAAGGAAAGACAAATACCCTATAATTTCACTTATATGTAGAATCAGAAAAAACAAAAACAAAAAAAACCCCAAAACAGAGTCATAGTTACGAAGAGCCTGATAGTTGACCTAGGGGAGGTGTTGGTGGAAATGTATGAAAAGGCAAAAGGGATTAAGAGGTACAAACTTACAGTTATAAAATAAGTCAGTCACAGGGATGTTAATATACAGCACAGGGAATACAGTCAATAATATCATAATACTTTTGTATGGGGACCTATGGCTACTAGATTTATCATGGTAATCACATATATAGTAAGGTATATAAATGTTAACTCCTTGTGTTGTACCCCAGAAACTAATAAAGTATGACATGTTAACTATACCTTAATAAAATGTGGTAACTATTAGGTTATTTTGACTAGAATCTGCCTCATTAAAAGTTGGGTACACAAACCTATGCTACAGGGAATTGCAAATTTCTTTTAGCAGGCACTGGAGCTGGATCATAAGTTCCTTTGGGACAGTTTACATGCCCAACAAGGAGCACCTCTGAGTGCCCAACAGGACTTTTAAGCAATACGATGAAAGAGTTAGCTGTAACAGAGGAGGTTAGGAAGGATAGTACATACATTATATTCTCATATTAAGTGAGGTCCCAGGTGATCTGAAAGAAGGGGAAGCTATTGATTTTTCACCCAGAGTCTTTTCCTTAGTACTGGCAAAGCACTGAAATGTAATTCTGGCAGTTCTATAATCTACAGAAATCAATTATCCAAATAATTGTGATACCAAAAATCATCTGCCCTACCATACCTTACATCACTTACCTTCTGAAGACACCTTCAACACCAGTAATGCCCATCCCATCCACAATATCTCTGGTGAGTCTAAAAGGAACGGTTTCAGGAGTAGGAAGGATTTTACCCTGTTCAAAAGCAACACCTACGTAAAAAAATACAATGAGGTTAGGAGGTTCCATAGCTAACTGACTTTCCTCCCAGCTGGCATGTGAACTTTGCAGAGGCACCAAATGATATGTTCCCTATATCACCTCAGTACTATAGCAGACAGTAGTTTATTCTACTTCTGCCCTGCCTGACTGCTTCATCTCCACCACTGTTTAGAAAGTTCACCTCAAATTGAACAAACATTACCTACTTCTTGACATAATTAGAGAAATCTTGATTAAAGGTTGATATTTAAAAATGAAGTAGTTACAGGTAGAATTTAAAATGCAGAGGACTATAGATATATATATCAATTTATATTTATAAAGTCATCCTTGATTTCTTTCTAATGGAATTCAATTTTACTATCTTAGTAAACCATTTATGTGTATTACATTGCAGAATTTATAATTTCCTAAAACTGCACCTTCTTGGAAATCTTAAATTCTACATTCTAATCAAAACCTCTTCTTCTGCAATTCATTTTATTAAATAGTCTTTAAACTCATTGAGATTTCTAGTCTATTAGCCTCTCTTCCTTCCCTACTCAGTTCAGGGTACATAGTTGCAAGGTTGGTTACTTTCATTATACCTCAAATCTCCTTGCCCTACCACACTCTACCACTTCAAACTAAAACTTAAACTCCAGGGATGTTCAGGACTTCTGAAAGAAATCATATGATGACACTATTGGCTCCAGTACCAATTTAGGCTTATCACCTTAGGAAAGTGACCCTTAAACTGCTTAGCATGTCCTTTTAGTTATTTTAAGGCCGACTGCCATCCCTCCAACTCTTAGCAAATTAGCATGCTTTCTATTTCTCAGAAATAATGGAATAGCTAATATAATTTCCCTCAAATTCTCTCCTCTCTAGCTTTAGACTTTCCTATTAGTGCTCACTCTTTCCTCCTCTCAAAGGAAAAGCTGACATGCATCCAATGGAAAGCCAACTCTACCCCATCACATACTTTGTAACTTCTCTTATTTTAATTATCTTGTATCTTTCCTATCTTATTAATACCTAACATGTTTATGTCTCTCTCATATTAAAAAAGCAAACAAAACCCCCCTCAAAACCAATAAAAAAGGCCCAAACATGTATCCGTCTCATGTCTGTAACAAACTTCTCTCCATCCTTTCCTTCCCTCCCCTTCTAAACTTCTTGCAGAGCAATTCCATATTCTTACTCTATACATCTTTAACTTCCATTCAATCCTTGCCTTGTCACAATTTCACTTCATCCATTCTATCCAAAGGTTACTTCCTAGGCCTCTAAGATTGATTAATAGTTAAATGCAAAGGCCTGTTTTCTGCATTCATCCAATTTGACCTTTCTGTAGCAGATATTGCTGAGCACTTCTTCCTTCATAAAAAATTTTCCTCCTTTGGTTTCCAAGATATTCCCATCTCCGAATTTCCATGGCTTATTGGTTATTCCTCAGTTTTCCTATTGACTCAGCCTTTTCATGCTGGCGTTCCTTAGTGTTTCATTCTTGGTCCTATTTATCAAGGCTGATGTATGAGATCACAATGTCCTCCAGTCCAATGACTTCAACTGAAATCTACTTGCTGAAAGTTCTACATGTTATCACAGTCAACTTTTTTGCTCTCCTCTTCATTAAACTGCCTACTCCACCCGGAAATCCCATCAGTACCTCAAAACAATGTGCAAAACTAACCTCATTGTTTCCTTATTCTTTACAAAACCTGCTGTATTCCTAACTAGAAACTTCAGTTATCCTGGAGTCTCCTCTCCTACTGTTTCCATATCTAGTATCACTGGTGCAGGTTACTACAAAAATGTCCTCCAAATCCAATGCACTGCTCTTTACAAATGTAGTTCAAATCTTTGTCCTCTCTTGTCTAAACTATTTTAATACCCCTAACTTATCTCCTGCTGCCAATACTGCTCCCAATTATCTTTCCAATAATCAGATGTAAATATGTCCTGCTTAAATATATCTTCATTTACTTCCCATAATTTAACAGATTAGAGTTGAAATTTCTTAACCTGGATTTTTATAGCCTAGAAGCAATCTATCTATCAAGCTACTCAATTACATGCAAGCTTTATTCCGGGCATACTGAATGTCTCCTGATTCCTCCTACAGCATGCTACATCTTCATTATTCCTCCTTTCACTTCTGTTCTATCTTCTGTTTGGATTATCCTTCCTTTCTTTGTCCAGACCTGGCTTAATGCCACATCATCTAATAAGTCTCACTCATTACCCTGGGTAGAGTTAGCTACGCACTCCAGCATCACTGTATTTATGCTTTTATATTTACTGCTTTGGTGTCTCTATCTCCCTCATACTTGTAATATCCTGGTAGAAAAACAACACTTCTTGAGGACTAAATATTCATTAAACAAAACAAAAATATGTATATTTTATTACTTACCTAAATCTATATGTACAAGTTCTGCTGACTGCTCATTTATCAAGATATTCTGTACATGTCTATCACCAAGTCCAAGTATGTAACCGACTGGGGGGAAAAAAAACCCCAAAATTACTGATATCATCTATTTTTAATAAGATATTTAGCCATTATTTCAATTATTATCACTGGCTCTATGTAATTTTTAAATAGCTTAGGCTTTTTAGCCTACTTAAAGGAAATCATGTACATAACTAGCCATTTTGAATTTAAGTCATATCTCACCAGCCATTTTTGTGTATACTGCCTTTTACAAATCCTAGATGATTTGCTAAAAAGGTTTCCCTTTACTACTAATAAAGCATATATTTAAAAATATTAATACTTCAACATCGGTGTGGATAAAGTTGAGACCATTAGTTACCAGGGCCAAAGCAGTACATTGTATACATTCAACTATTTATTGAGTGACCTATGAATAAATTCTCAATTCTCCAGTGAAACTTTCTTCTGCTTGATCATATTTAACACAAATTAATCATTAATTCATTTTATTGGTATATACTAGGAAAAAAGTGCGTCTTTAAGACTGACTATGACATGCTCAAAATCCTTTTAACCTAAGGGAAGACACTAGGTGGTAGTACAGAAAAGACACCAAATAGGGAGTCAGGATGTCTGAGTGCCTGGCTAGTTCTGTCATTAACTGGGTCTTACTTCCTTATTAATTGAAATTAGTTGAATCAGATTAATGATTCTCAATGTAGACAATAAGATGATTTCACAATCACCTACAACTTTTTCAAAACATACATGCCCTGCCACCCTGGGGTGTGGTATCTAAGTGATGGAGGAAGAAGTCTTTAGTTTAGAATCAGCAGACTGAAAGATCTCTGAGGCTCCTGTTAGTTCTCATACTCTAATATTTTGTTAATTGCTCTATCTAGTATTCTAATCGCTTACAAATTTTTAAATAAGTAAAAATATATGTTGTCCATTATTTAAATATATATCATTACTTTTATTTCATAAACAAAATTCTATTAAACAGAATCAGCCCTGATTACTGCGGCTCAGTTGGGCATCATCCCACAGAGCAAAAGTTTGCCAGTTTGATTCCTAGTCACGGCATGTGCCTGGGTGTGGGTCTGGTGCCTGCACAGGGCATGTGCAAGAGGGAATCGATCAATGTTTCTCTCATATTAATGTTTTTCTCCCTCTCTTTCTCACTCCATTCCCCTCTCTCTAAAATTAAATAAATAAAATCTTAAAAAAAATCAATCATTATGTGATAATATTAGAGGTTCTGTGCAAAAGTAATCAAAGTAAATACCTTACATGAAGTTGTCATGGGTTTATTATCCCTCCCCAAAAAATCTCAGAAAATAATATAGTATTATCATATATTTTATTATTTTTCAAAGAAAATCTCAATGAATAATAGATTGAACTCAGGAAGAGAAAATAAGCCATATTTACAAAGCAAAAAAGAATAACCAGTCTTATTTCCCTACCTTGGTGTAGGAGAATTTTTTCTAGCAAAAGTTAAGAAGAGCTACAATTAGAAGCTAAGAATCAGGATGAAGAAGACAGTCAGTAATCTAATAATCTAATGAAGACGACAGTTTGGTTGACAACCACCATTAAGACCATCATCCCTTGCAACTAAGAATGTAGGAAGTGTTGAATCTACTAAAATGTGTAAGATTACCAATAGAAGAAGTAGCCACACTGCGAGTATAGGCCAATCGTTTCTCAAACCAAACAGCTGGATCCAAGAATTTTTCCATGCAGAAGTAACGAAAAACTGGTTGAAAATTCTGACAAATATCCATGAAGGTTTCATATTTTTCTTCATAAGACTTCTTTTGCACATCCTTTAAATAGATCATATATAAAATATTTTCTCAACATTGTGGTTCGTCTAATTTAAGTCTACTAAGAGTATCTATATGGAAAATAGTTTAATACACAGAGGCAAGACTACCTCTACTAACAGTCTGGTCAGGGAAGCAATTAATAACAATTCTAATCTCTTTAGGGTCTTCATGTTAATATTAGTGGAAGGAGACACATCTAGAGTGACTGTTTTTGATTCAAGTAAATTCTAAGTGGTATGATCCTGTAATCTATGTGAAAGTAAACACGAAAATGACAAAGACAGCTCCAGATAGTCTTAGGTGGCATCACAGCACTAGCTGTGAGATAGGAAACAGAAAAGGAGGAAGAATGAGAGAATCACTAATGGATGGCAGAGCATCTCAAATCTGTCCTCTAACATCTTCTCACTCTACAGCATAATACTGGCCTGAAGCAAAGCTTATCGACTTCAGTGGGCTCAACTCTCACCTAAGTACTAATGACTTCCACATCTCTATCTTTGGCCAGTTATCTTTATTAAGCTCCAGCTTGATGTATTTCTTCAACTGCCCACTCAACATCTTCACTTGGATCAATCACTTCCAGATCCAAACCAATTTACTTTCTCAACTCTGGTGAAGCTCAGCCACTTTATTTTTTGATACCGTAAATAGTCTCTCCATTCTCCTCATCACCCCACCAGAAAATTGGGTGCCACTGATTACTTTTTCACCAACTCCATTTCTAATCAGCAACCAAATCCTATCAGTTCTACCTACTTACTATTTCTCGTATGTACCCCCTATTTCCATTCCTACTGTTACAAGTCTCAGTTCTGATCCCCTGCCTCATGACTCTAGTTGGCTTTTTCAAAAATACAACCCACAGTGCTGTCAGAGTTATTTTTCTAAAATACAAATCTGATATTAATATTCTCAAGGGTTCTCTACTGCTTTCAGGATAAAGTGCCAATTTCTTAGCATATCATAAAGCAATCCTCCATTTTTTGACTAATCTCCATTGCTCCAATCTCTTATCTGCTCCTTTTCAAAGACTAAGCCTGTGCTGTCTTTAACTGTGTGTTCATGTCACCTATTTGTTTGTTGTATCTCCTTCTGCTTGGAAAACAAATTCATTTATGAAACTTGGCTCAAAAATCATCTCCTCTATGAAGCCTATCTTGAATCTGATTCTCTCCATTCCCTTGTCCCAGGTAGAACTAACCACTTCCTCCTCTGTACCCTGCACAATAAAAGGAAAAGTAAATAAATTTTAGAGTTGGAGAGACAAGGTTCAAATCCTTATTCCACCATTTTATTAGCTAATTGACTTTGGAAAAATTAAATTCTCTGAATTTTTTCTCATCTTTAAATGGGATGAGTACAATGATTAGTTATAACATTTCTGAAACTTTACATCTGTGAAATCTCACCTGGTATAGAGAAGGCATTCAATAAATGTTGATGACTGAGTAAATGTTAGACCAAATGGCCAGTGTAATGTAACAAATGTATTAGAAGCTTTCTATATTAATTTCATGTAAAAATTATTTCATAATGCTTTGAAAAATTGTTTAGTGCTTTGTTTTGTTAAAAGTTAACATACCCCAAACTAGAAGCAAATGAACATACATTGAAATATGTTAAATTTCTCATCAGACAAGGGCTGATGTAACAGTTTAAAAACCTTCCTTTTTCACTCACGCACCCTTTCATTCTGGTGAACTTTCTTAGTGTCATTAACAATTGCCTGCTGAAATTAATAAGCTATCGAGCAACCTTGCAATAACATACTTTTGAGTGTCACTTACCATCATTTTCTTCTGGCATTGAAAGGCACTGATATCCCTTGGCCTGTATCTTTTATGAGCACCATTCTCATTGTTAACAAGAAATTCACCAATAGGGACAGTTCCTGTGCACCATTCAAGAACACCACTTCGCTGAGAAAGGGGAACCACCTGAAGTTATGGATTAAATATCTTTAGGTTATGGAAGGGCATTAAGTAGCATGTGATAATCATTCAACCATGAGAGTCGGTGTGAAGCATTTTTCCAAAGTTGCATTATACCATTTCTCTGTCCATAGGAGACAAAACTCCTTGGAAGAAAGCAACAAAAATATACTTACACTCAAAGAGTAAGATTTTGTAGCCTGCTGCTTAGACTTCTGAGAACCTGCTCACCTCTTAGTCTCCATGACTCCCTTGAGAAGTTAATCCTGTTGATCATACCCTTCATCACTTGTGACTGAGCCATACTTACTTTGTCCCATTTGGAAGAGGATTTACCCTGCTTTCCTTATACTTCTATTATCAAACAAATCTGAAGACTTTCCCTTTGGAAAATATTCAATGTAGTCTCAATTTAGTATACCTTAATAAATGCAAGTACGTGTATAGGTTGGTTTATAGTCTTTTTACCTTTACCAAAAGGAAATGTATTCCTAAACATAAAAGGAGCAATTTTACTGGGAAGGTTATAAACTATGACATATTATAAACAAATATGAAGTGTAGAAAATTATATAAACATTTACCTTTTTACCCACTAAATAGCTTTATCAAATCTAAGATTTTTCTTGTATTTGCTGGGAAAGAAAGGAATCTCCCTTTGGACCCCTCACTTACCACACGCCCCACCCCAAGACGGCATGCTAGATGTTTCACCTAGATGACTGTTTATCATGTTAATGTATTTTTTGTATACCTGAATCTAATATAACCAACATAAGATTCTATTTCATGCTTTACAGCAATGAAATCTTCTTGGAAACCTTAGCTGCTTTCTGAGAAAATCAGGACATACTGCTATAGCCCATACGTTTTGCAACCCATTGTGACCCAATTCAGTCATCATCTTTGCTACCTAAAAGCCTTGCACTTAGAGCATTAAAATTTCCTTTCATTCACATTACAGAATATCTGCTCTCTAAGACCTTCTTAGCAATCATTAAAATATATCCCAGACAAAAGACCACTAATAGCTCATCAACTCTGTCCTATAATTAAGCTAGATCAATAGACAGCAAAGTAACAAGCCTGGGAGGTCTCAAAGAGTGGTCCCTGAACAACGGCTGCATCAGTATCACTTGGTATCTTGATAGAAATGCATGTTCTCAGGTCCCCTTCTAGAATTAGAAATTCTGAGAATGGGACTTAACAATTTGTGTTTTAACAAACCCTCCAAGTGATTATGATGCCTGCTAAGTTTAACTTTTTCTTTAATACTAACCAATAAGATTTTATTGAGTAATGCTGAGCTTTTGAAGGGCTAAGTTTAACTTCTGTTTAGCATTCATTGATGGCTAAGAAATTCTTTTTTTCTTAATTGCTAATGGAAAGAATCAATTATATTAGTTAATATCCTAAAAAAATTCTATGTAACAAATTTCTGACAAATCTTGAAGTCTAAGAGAAAAGGTGCTTTTGAATAATATGCTTCCCTGCCTCTATCCCATTAACTAAAACATGATTTTTATATTTGTTTTAGTATTAAATTCTGATTTCAATTATAATAGCCTGACTGAATCAGAATTTTGGAGGGCAGATCTAACTTCTTTTCCCTGCTCCCCTACTTGGGGTTTTAAGTTTAACAATATTTTTTACAATTTAATAAAAAGGTGCTTTGGAAAAAAATAAAAGTAAAAAAATAAATAATTTTTTAAAAGGTGGTTTGTGACAAAGTTAAAACATAAAAAAACAGACACTATACATAATCCCATCACACTCAGTGATAACTGAGAATTTTAGGTTCATTCAGGAACTTTTTAAAGCCATAGTTATATATTGATTTCTTATAAATGTATATATGCGTAAATCTGTTTTTTAAGGCTATTTATTCTGTTTTTTTAATCTGTCTATTCTTATGCCACAAACCATACCATCATTATTACTAAAGCTTTACCATTTGCTTAAGTATAACTGGATAAAGTCTACTCTCACCTATTACTTTTATCAAAGACAGTTTAGTCATTCTCACCAATATATTTTTCAAGATAAACTTAAAAAAAATTTTTTTTAATTTACTGATTTAAGAGAGAGGAAGGGAGGGAGGTAGGAAGGGTTGAGTGGGGGCAGGGAGAGAAAGAAAGAGAAACATCAATTTGTTGTTCCACTTATTTATGCATTCATTGGTTGATAGTGCCCTAACTGGGGATCCAACACGGCAACCTTGGCATGTAGGGACGATGCTCTAACCAACTGAACTACCTGGCCAGGGCCTCAAGATAAACTTTTAAATAATTTTTCCAAGTAATAAAAAATTTCATTGGAATTTCACAGTCCATGTATTAATTTGAAATGTGCTGACTTTTTTTATGTCTTCTCATTTAATACATGGTACCATTCTTTTATTTTAGTTTTCCTTTACTCTTTCTTGTTATATTTTTATAGTCTTTCCATGCAGTCAAAACTTTTTATTACTGTGAGAGGGACTTTTTTCAATTATATATTTAAACTAGTCTTAGTTAATGGTTAAGATACTTCTTGGTTAAACAGAGTTAACTTGCTAGAGGAAAAAAACACATGCTGGTTTGTACCATTTTGTGAGTGTAAGAAACAAGACAGATATGGGGCTACCATAAGTGTCTCTAAAAGGCTGCTTCTGTTTCTGTACTGCACAGTGAATTATTCATACATTTCCTAATTTGTTTATATCTTCACAGAAACATGAACAATGAATAAACAAACAAGCCTTGTTACAGAAGTAATAGAAAAAAGGGCATATGAGATACAGAAATGAAACCAAAAAGGACACACCTATGGGAAACAGACCCTTCAAAATGAAAGTTTACTGTTACTTAAAATGTAAACATGCTAAATAAGCATTCAATGTAGGGGTCAAAGGTGATTAACTAATAGAATCATGTGACTTGAGAACTGTCCTCTCAAGCAAACTTTTTTGCTGGAGGAAGTGCAAATTGGTACACCCCTCCATTATGTGTAATCTGACAGTATCTTCCCAATTATAGGTGTGAGGCAGGAAAGCATAGGAAACAAAGGCCTCAAGCTCTACACCTCCCCTTTCTGGCTTGGCTGGAACATCGAAGATGTTACTTTCACTGACCAACTGTATCTCCTGCTTTCCCTCCCCCTGCCCTGCAATTTCCTATAATTGAGAAGACCAAAAAAAAAAAAAAAGAAGATAACTGCAGAGGAGAGACAAGGTTGACCTGAGTTGGCAGTGACCCTACCAGCTTCAGAAGCCAAGGACAATCCTAGCCCATGTTTAATAAAAGCCTTCCACCCAGACCCATTGGCAAGTCTCATTCTCCAAGGTCATCCACTGTCACTTTCTGAATGCATTATATAGCTTTAATAAATTTGCTGTGCTTTGTTAAATCTTTGTCATGCCCTCAAATTCCTCCTTGTTCTGTGACAAAAACCTGGATTGGGTTAAGGCCCCCCGTAGCGTCCCAAGGTGCTGCCTGGCATCTGGTGCACTTACCATCTGATCCATGAATATAACTTTTGGAAATGTAACCCACAAACTGACTCGCATATATATATTCATTGAAAAATTGTATGTTCAATGTCATTCACTGCAGCATAGCATTGTTTGCCATAGCAAAAGACGACTAATGAGACAAATGCCCATTTTATACAATAAGGGCTTTTATAATAACCATGTAATACATAAAATGCAGCTCTTAAAAAATGAGAAAGACCTGTAACATACTGTTAAATTAAAAACAAGATATGTATGTTATCTTTTCTTTACGGAATGGGAAATAGTGAAATATATTAATATATTCTATCTGTATAACCTGGAAACAAATGAAAACGGAACTTATAAGGATAAGAAAGGGATGGAGTAGATGAAGCTGATAGGATTAAAGGTGAGAGAAGAGGACTTCTTTTTTCATACATTTTTCAACTGTTGGATTTTTGACACATGCAAACATTACCTAGTCAAAAATTAACAAATTTAAAAGCCTATTTTATGCACTACAGTCTTCACTAACTCAGTATTTTCTTAATACCACTTTTCTTCTTAAGAGCACTTTTATACCAGAAATAAGCCCAATGGTTAAAGATAAAGAAAAAAATACTTTAGCTGCTTACAAGAAACATCTAACTGCAGTTAACATTAATGAGTTCTTTAAAACAAACAAACAAACAAACAAACAAAAACCAACAAAGCTAAACTGGAGGTTGGCAATCTATGGCCATTAGAGCAAACCCAGCCTCAGGCTGTTTGTACAGCTTATGAGCTAAGAATGGGGTTTCAGGTTAAAAGGGTTCTAAAGACAACATAAAGAATATGTGACAGAGACCTTTTGTGGCCCAGAAAGTTTCAAATGTTTACTATATTGTCCTTCAGAGAAAACACTTGCGTACCCTCTGGTCTAAATAATGACAGTATTTTTATGGTCTTGGTGAAGCGGCAGAAGTATAAACTAGTGACCTTGTATGTGCAGATAGTCAATTTCCTCTTCCTCGTCTCAGTGTTTCTCTGCAGTAATGTGTTACACATCTGGAACACCTGCTGCATGACAGCATCTTGTCTTAGGTCATCCCGGCCCTTCAGGAAAATCAAAACATGAATAACTACGCACAGTTCATTTGCTTATTATAAAACCATACCAAAGGTCATCTGAGGACAGCAAAGCGCAATCAGAAATCAATCTGAGCATCAGTGCCTCTTTTAACAGTCTCTTAAAGAATTAAGACCTATCACGATTCTTTCATTCAGAACAAGCTATAACACTGGGTAGGCAGAGCAATTTAGAAGGAAGTTCCTCCTAGCTGCTTTTGTAATTAGACTAACTGGAACTCTACCTGAGGGCAAGCTGCAAAATACCTGGGTGAGAAAACAGTTATCTCCCCACTGCTACTTAGCAAGGCCCAGGGAGATTTTGAGCAAAGTTAGGGAGGAACGCTGTCCCTTTCTGGTACATTTAATAGCACTCAGCATAGTGCCAGACTCAGAATATTGAAGCAAGGACCTTGAACTTGAACTATTCAAGAAAATAACCACCCCCAAAATACCTTTTCTATAACAGGCAAGCTGATTGTCAACCTCATCATGTCTACATGCATTAAAAATATTCTTTTGTTGCAGGAGATAGAAGGAAACTGAGACTGTTCTGCTGTGGCTGGCCAGCAACTATAGCATCCTGGTTGCCAGGCAACACCTTTTAACACTTAGGTAGCAGCTAGGAATGAGCAGCCAAAGAGGAAATGAAGGCAGGACCCTCACCACTGCAATCCAACAAAGAACTTAATACAGGAGACTAAAAGCAAAGGAGGACTTGTCTCACCTGTGACCCAACAGCCCTGAGCTTGGTTCAATAAGACTGCCAGGCATTCTGAACAACACAAGTAAACCATAATAGCGTGGGGGGGTGGGGGGGAGCTCTTATAAGTCTATGTGTATCATCTCCACTAGCTGGGAAAAGGAAAACCTTGAGACTGTCTATTCATCCTAAGGCCTGGAAGGGAGAAGGGGAGGGGGACTACAGTGCCCAAAAGAAAAAGCCCATAAACAATTTTGGTTAACTGCCTGCCTCCCATCACATACAAAATGAGCAAATAGAGTCTTGAAGATGAGGATTCAGGCTAACAGACCCTCACCGATACCTACATTTAGGCAGTCATATCTCTACAGAAAACTGTCACCACCTTTACCTGTCAATCAAACTGTAACCCCTCCAATTACGTAAGTCCTCAGAACAAAGGACTTGCTCTCTTCTCTTGGCTCCTGGTTCTATTGCCACACAGGTGGGGGTGGGGGTGGGGTGCTCATTTGGCCTTTTTGGCCACCTGACCTTTGCCCACCTGGGTGCTAGCCACGCAGGCCTTTGGCCACCCTTGCTCTAGACACCCTTGTTTTTGCTCTCCCATTCACTAATAAACTTTGCTTGCACACTTATAATAGGCTCGCTGACCTGTAATTCTTTATTGCATTGATGAGAAGAACCAGAGTTTCTCTGGTAACACTTTTACTTCAATCAATTGCTATAATAATGATGATCTTTCAGACAGACAGACAGATATACACACACACACACACACACACACACACACACACAATGGAAAGAGCATTCTGCTTCTAGAAAATAATGTTTTTCTATTCTATAAGTTTTCTTTATCTATATTTTTTCAGAATAAAAATAGACACAAATAAAGCAGGAAGAAAATTATCAACTACAATTTTTGACTTTTTAATTAACTCTTGAAGAACCACACCACAGAAGGAAAATTTCACCTTGACAAGCTGTCGCCTTTCCTTGCCATCAGAGCCCACACAATCAATTATTTTTGGTAAGTTTATACCTCCTGCTAAACGAAATTCTGCTTTAAATGACTGTATAGTCACCAGATTTCCATATACTCCTGTGGGGTCCACCTAATAAAAAATATAAATATGATAACAGATCAGAAACACTATTTGCATATATATGAAAATGAACTGTGATTAATAATTTTAATATTAAACAGGAATAAATGACAATGTGCTGTTGGTTAAGAACTGGAGCTATAACTTTAACTTTCTGTTAAATGACAGAAAATATCTGACATTGAAAATGTTTTAAAAAGTGACCTAGATATTACTATCTCCCTAAATATCTCTTCATAATAATAGGGTATACAAAATCAGAATAGTGTCACTGAAAAACTATTGAAAAACCAGTGTTCATGTCTTAACTTTCACTTGTATATATTAAATCATCTGAGAAATAGTAAACTCCTAACAAAAACATAGTAAGGTAAATTTTAGAAAAGTGTGAAGAAGAGTTTTCTAGGTTGTAATCACTAATTATGGCATTTTCAAGAAATATGTAGTTAAATATTATTAATGGAATAATAGCTGGAAAGGTATTAGTTAATCCACATAATACAGGTATACTTCAATTCAAATAACTACAGGTACTAACCCTAAACTGCAAACTCAAAGAAGAGATTTACAATGTAGTTAAAATGATCATTTTCTAAACTATAACCCTTTATTATTACATATATTTCTGACCACAGGGTACTTGTAGCAATAAGAGATCATTATGACATAGTTAAAGTATCATGTACATTACCATCAATTTTATACTGTAATACATACTGCATTGCTTAATACTGTAATACATCACAGGCCATATATTCTAATGCATACAGAATTTTTAAAACCAGTAACACAATTAGGAACTTTCTTGCCAAGTTAAAAATTAATCCTGGCACACAGATTCTTTCCTTCTTCTGCCCAGTGAAGGTAACACTCTACATTGCTTCTTCATAAGAAAGATGAGAGGCATAAAATTGAAGGCAAAAGAAAGGAAAGCAGAAAATCAAGAGGATTTGAAGATGGCGGAGGAGTGAATGGGAGTCATGCTGACCTCCTCCCAAGACCAAACTGGAATTGCGACTAAATAGTGGAGAAATCACCTGGAAAACAATGGAACACTAGAAGGAGAGGAGCCTTGGAGCTGCGGACAGACAGTGGATTCACCTCTCACACATCTCAACGGGTGAGAAGTGCAGCGGAGGCTCGTGAGGGTAGGCTGGGTGCCCATGGGCACCAGCACCAGAGAGACACTGAAACAGCCAGTTGGTTCCCCTTGAGAAGAACGGGGTCTGAATCATAAACAGGGACCCCCAGACAACAGCAGCTGAAACCAGAAAAACACAAAGACAAAACGCAACCCCCAAAAGCTTAGAGGCGCTCTCTGCCAGAGACAGGCATCTGGAGATGCAAAGAGACATTTAAAGGGCCAACGCAAAAATTTGCAGTGGCAGCCGTCCTCCTTGATCTCTGGGTAGAGGCAGCAGCAGAGTGGGCTGGTGCCTGAGGAAAGATTAGTGAGGAAAACTCTGTGAAGAGAACTGAGACGGTGGCTGGCAGAGCCCTGGTGATAACTCACTTCCCACTCTGCAGCTACCATCGCGCTCAGGCATAAGGGAATCGATTAACCTGCTTTTGTGTGCTCCGCACAAAGCTAGTGTGCATGTGAGCTTGGGGACTAAGTGCAGACTGGCTGGAAGAAAGAGAGGATCCCTGGTCAAAGGGGACACACAGCTGCATAGAGAGCCTTGAGGAGAGACTGGAGACGGAGGCGTTGGGGAAAGAATGGGAGGAGGAACTGGGGAGTCCCAACTCCCTCCCCATTCCGTAGTCTCCATTTTGCACAGGCAGGACACACCCCCAAAGAGGCAGAAGCAGGCGTGCGGGGGCCAGACGGCCTGTGAATACAACGCGGTCCGGAGAAATAGTGGATCCCAGGCCAAAGGGGTCACAGAACTGCCCAGAGACCCTGGAGGAGAGACTGGAGACAGGATTAACCGGAGAGTTCCGGAGCTGACTTCCTCCCATTTCCGTAGTCTCCATTTTGCGCGGGCAGGCTATGCCCCCAAAGAGCCAAAAGTGGGGAAAGCACACAATAGAAGACCCTAAACTGGCCAGTGCCGGGGTGCCTGCTGGGCATGGGTGCTAGATGAGCGTGTGAGGTCGGGCGAATAAGCGCTCCCGGGCTGGGGCAAGCACACACGCACCCAGGCAGGCAGGGGATCCTGGCGGGCCAGGGAGTGTGCTCAAGGAGCCGGCATGAGAGTGCAGAGCGATCAACAAAATAATGGATCCCTGGCCAAAGGGGTCACAGAGCTGCCCAAAGCAGGGGTCAGACACAGACAGTAGACTCCTGGAAGGCTCAAACAAACAACCCAAGGTCCTATAGGGTCAACAACTGACATCATCAGAGGCAGGCCCAGAAAGAAAAGATGAAATAAATAAATAAACAAATAAATAAAAAGACCTGCCTACTACCATAGAGGTTTAATCCACAAAGTCAGGAAATCTAGATGGATCAATTGAAGCAGAAGCAAAAACAAACAAATAAATTAATTAATTACTTAATAGACTCTCACAAAAATGGGAAGAAAAAGAAGTTCCCCCCAAATGAGTGAAAAAGGGGAATTCCCACAGAGAGAGCTAAATGAAATAGAGGCAAGTGACCTATCAGATATTGAATTCAAAACAATGGCTCTAAGGAAGCTCATTGAGCTCAACCAGCTCAAAGATAACTAGGAGAAACTGCAGAGAAACTACCAGGATCTTACAGCAAACTATGTCAACCTAGAAAAGGACACAGAAACTATCAAGAAGACACAAGAGGATATAAAGAATACCATTTCTGAATGGAAGAACACAGTAGAAGGAACCCAAGCAGGCTGGATGAAGCCGAGGATTGAATCAGTGAGATGGAGGATAAGGTAGAAAAAAACTCCCAGAAAGAAAGAGAAATGGAAAAAAGACTCAAAAAGAATGAAGAGGTGTTTAGGGAAATGCGAGACAACCTGAAACGCAATAATATCCGTATAATAGGGATACCAGAAGGAGAAGAAGAGGAGCAAGGAATAGAGAACCTGTTTGAAAAAGTAATGATGGAAAACTTCCAAAATTGGAGGAGAGAAAAGGTCTCATGGATACAGGAGGCACAGACGGCCCCACTCAAGAGGGACCCAAGGAGGTCCTCTCCAAGACACATCATCATTAAAATGGCAAATATCAGAGACAAAGAGAGAATCCTCAAGGCAGCAAGGGAGAAGGAGAAAGTAACATACAAAGGAGCCCTGATATGGCTAGGAGCTGACTTCTCAACAAAACACTGCAAGCCAGAAGGGAATGGCAATAAATATTCCAAGTCATGAAAAGCAAGGGCCTACAACCAAGGCTGCTCTACCCAGCGAGGCTCTCAATTAAAACAGAAGGGGAAATAAGGAGTTTCCCAGACAAAAGAAGGCTAAAACAATACATCTCTACCAAACCAGCACTCCAAGATATGCTAAAGGGACTGGTTTAAGAAGATGAAGGAGAAGAGTGAGAAAGAGACAAACACAGGTACAAGGAGAAAAAATGAATAGGTTTCTATCTGTAATAACTCTCAATGTAAATGGACTAAATGCCCCAATCAAAAGACACAGGATAGCTGAATGGGTAAGAAAACATGACCCACACATATGCTGCCTACAAGAGACCCACCTCAGACCAAAACACCTACACAGATTGAAGTAAAGGGCTGGAAAAAAATATTCCAAGCAAATGGGCAAGAGAAGAAAGCAGGGGTTGCAATACTTATATCAGACAAAATAGATTTCCAAACAAAGGCCATAAAAAGAGACCCAGAGGGACACTTTATAATATTTAAAAGAAGACTCTATCAAGAAGACATAAACACTGTAAACTTATATGCACCCAACATAGGAACACCCAAGGATATAAGGAAAATCTTGGGTGACTTCCAAAAAATATAGACAACTACACACTGATAGTAGGGGATCTCAACACCCCACTGTCAAAAAGGGACAGATCGTCCAAACAAAGCATCAGCAAGGATATTGTGGAGCTGAACGACGCACTGAATCAAATAGACTTAACTGACATATATAGAACCTTACATCCCAAAGAAGCAAAATATACATTCTTTTTAAATGCTCGTGGAAGTTTTTCAAAGATAGACCACATGATAGGACACAAAGCAAGCCTCAGCAAATTCAGGAAAATTGAAATAATACCAAACTTTTTCTCGGACCACAAGGGCTTGAAACGGGAAATCAACCTCAAAGAGAAACTTCAGAAACTTGCACACTCATGGAGACTGAACAGTAGACTATTAAACAATGAATCGGTCAATAATGAGATAAGAGAAGAAATCAAAAAGTTTCTGGAAACAAATGAAAATGAACAGACAACAGTCCAAAACCTATGGGACACAGCAAAGCTGCCCCTGAGAGGGAAGTTCATAGCAATACAGGCTTACCTAAAAAGGACAGAAACATTTCATATAAAAGACCTAACACTACAACTTCAAGAACTGGAGAAGCAACAACAAAAATCCCAGAGCAAGTAGAAGGAAGGAAATAGTCCAGATTGGAGCAGAACTGAATGACATAGAGACCAAAAGAACAATTCAAAGGATCAGCCAATCCAGGAGCTGGTTCTTTGAAAAGATAAATAAAATCGACAAGCCTTTAAGCAGCCTCATCAAGAAAAAAAGGGAGAGGACCCAAATAATTAATATCAGAAACAAAAGAGGAGAAATAACAACTGATACCACAGAAATACAAAGGATTGTAAGAAATGACTATGAACAATTATATGCCAAGAAATTTGAAAACCTCGATGAAATGGACAAATTTCTAGGAAAGTATAATCTTCCTACATTGAAAAAGGAAGAAACACAAAGCCTGAACAGACCGATAACAGCTGGGGAAATTGAGGCAGTCATCAAGAAACTCCTGGCACACAAAAGCCCTGGGCTAGACGGTTTCACAGGAGAATTTTATGAAACATTTAAGGGAAGAGCTAACCCCTGTCCTTCTCAGACTATGACAGAAAATCCAAGAGGAGGGAAGACTCCCAGCCTCTTTTTATGAGGCCAGCATCACCCTAATCCCAAAACCAAATAAAGACCCTACAAAGAAAGAAAACTACAGGCCAATTTCGCTGATGAACATAGACGCTAAAATCCTCAACAAAATATTGGCAAACCGCAGCCAGCAATACATAAAAAGATTATCTACCACGATCAAGTGGGATTCATCCCAGGGATGCACGGCTGGTTCAATATACGCAAATCAATAAATGTAATACATCACATAAATAAAAGAAAAGACAAAAACCACATGATCATCTCGATAGATGCAGAAAAAGCATTCGTAAGGTACAGCACCCATTCATGATCAAAACATTCAGCAAAATGGGAATAAATGGGGCATTCCTCAACGTAATTAAGGCCATATATGAAAAACCTACAGCCAACATCATACTCAATGGGCAAAAACTGAAAGCTTTCCCACTAAGGTCGGGAACATGACAAGGATGTCCGCTTTCACTGCTTCTTTTCAACATCGTATAGGAAGTCCTAGCCACAGCGGTCAGACAAGAAAAAGAAATAAAAGGCATTCAAATAGGAAAGGAGGAAGTAAAGCTATCACTGTTTGCAGATGACATGATAGTGTACATAGAAAACCCTGCAGACTCCACCAAAAAACTACTCAACTTAATAAGTGAATTTGGCAAAACAGCAGGATACAAAGTCAATATTCAGAAATCAAAGGCATTTTTGTACACCAGCAATGAAATAGAAGAAAAAGAAATCAGAAACACAAATACCATATGATCTCACCTCTAAGCAGAACCTAATCAACAATACAAAGATGCAGGGAAAATAAGAGCAGCAACACTGAAAGGAAAAGAAATCAACAGAGACAAGAGGGAAAGAGGGAGAGGGGATGGGGAAAAGGAAGGGAAGGGGCAAGTCAAGGAACATACAGCAAGGACTCATGGACAAAACCAAAGGGGAAGAGCTGAGGGAGGGAGGGGAGGAGGGCACAAGGGAAAGTATGGGGCGAAGGCAGAGACAAATGTATTTGAAAAATTAAATAAATAAAAAATAAAACTAAATTGAGAGATAAAAAAGAAAAAAGAAGGGGAAGCAGATGAAGTCTTTACACACTTTGAGGCTTGAGCAAGGGAATCTAATAGTGAAAAAAAACTATAGGTTGAAATAAATAAAATTGTCAACATTTAACCAATTTTGACCTACAAAAAAGGCAATTTTAAATGATTTAACCTAATAGAAAGGAATTTAGTTTATTAAAAAATATCAAAATGGTTAATAGTAAATTACCTTAATTTCCATAGTAGGAACAACAACATCTTCTAAATTCTTAAGTTTAGTAATTGGCTGGTCTGCTGGAATTTTTATGCCTTCTGTATTTAAAATAAAGAAGTTTTAGTGATAAGCAAAGTTGAGGAACAGTACTGAAGGTAAAGCACCATTTAGCAGATGCCACAGACCCAACCTGTGGCTGATCCCTGGTTTAGGCCCTGAGCTAGAACTGAAGACCCATGGGCTCAGGACACAGTGTAGCTCCGGGTCAGAGCATGCAATGCATTTGCAGGGTACCTGCCACTGGTAATTAGACCACAATCCACCTGCGAGGGTAGGTTGAGCACCTTAAGATAATTACATGCTTTTTTAAAGAAATCACATAAGATAAAATTACATAATACACTCCTGTCACATTACTATTAAAAGTGACTAAAGGGCATGATAATATTTTTGTTTGCTAAGAGGAACGCAATGAGAAGTCTCATTCTTATTTCAAAGTATTAATAATTTAAATGTGAAGCTATGATTCTGAACAGAAAAAGGAGTATCATTTTTAAAGTATGGGGAGAGAGATACTTATAAGCAAATGCATATAACCAAAAAATTATACGACCTTATAATTATTTGAACAGACATATCAAAAAGAGTGATGGATTACATGCAAGGCATTCCAAGGAGGAAATAGAGGCCTTTTGACTTTTAACTCCTAGGGCACAATAACTAACAGCATTTTAAAAAACCTCTGATCCTAAAGACTCTCAGTTACTCAGTTAAATGGGTTGCTTCTATGCAATTCTCTACAACAGAAGATTACCCAGAGAAATCAAATAATTAATTCAGTGCAATCATCTATTAGCAATCCAAGCAAAAGATCTTAAGTAAGCCCTGGTTGGTGTGGTTCAGTGGGATGAGCACTGGCTTGCAAACAAAAGGGTTGTGGTTCAATTCCCAGTCAGGGCACGTGTCTGGGTTGCAGCCCGGTCCCTGGTGTCGGGGAAGGCGCATGAGAGGCAACCACACATTGATCTTTCTCTCCCTCTCTGTGTAAAAATAAATAAATACAATCTTAAAGAAAAGATATTAAGTGAAAAAGTGCAGGATGTTGAAGTTATTAGATAAAGATTAAGTTGGGTCACATGTAAACTTGTAATCAAGATGTTCATATCTGTAAATACAGAGAATAACAGCAAAAAATGAACAGCCATTCTTATAAACACATACTTCTCTGAGTCTTCCACTGAGTGGCATCAAAGTTTGCTAACACAATATAAGCATCACAAAGTGCCTCAACACTTCTGACCATCTGAGGTCTCCTACTTCTGATAGTATGTATTATTTTGTTTGCAGCCTCGATTCGATCCTATTATTAAAAACAAACAAACAAACAAAAAAAAAACCAATGCATAAGAAAATACCTGATACTTAAACTTTTCAGTTATAACAACAAAAGAAAAAAAGATTGTATGCACATGTGTAGACAATGAAAGGACTATAATCCCTCAAATCCAAACAAAACAATACCCTTAGGAATGAAATAGATAAAAAGTATAATATAATTTCAAGAGTAAATGGCATGGGATCCTTTCAAAATCAATTTACTTGTTCATTGCTGTAACAAAAAAATGTGAAATATTATTGGTACTTCCTGTGCTTTGAGAAATATTCAGAAATTTTGAACCAATTTTAGGTGGCATCATAATCACAAAGAATTTACAAACTGAATATAGTCACAACACATTCTTAGAATCCCTGATACTTAAGAAAAGGATATTGTGGGAAAACATGAATACCATAATTCAAAAAGTTAAGTATGTTTAATCCATATACCTCATCAAGTTGAGAACTTTGTTTAGGTACATTTTTAGTTATTCTACTCCTTGTTGCTGCCTCTGGTTTGGTCAAAGTTTCATCTTTGTTTGCATTTGCTAAGGCCAGTATAATAAACAAAGTATGATGGGGATGATCCATTGAAATTCTAGAGATGAGCTGTCAGAAAATGAAGAGCCATTAGATTTACACAAACAAAACAAAAAAGTATGAAATACACAACCCTTTTCATTTTGCTTAACATTAAGGTTTGTGTTACTATACTAAATAACGCAGTGAGTGAGATGTATGTATGAGAGACAGAGGTGCATAAGAAAGAGAGAAATTGAGTAACTTGTGTGCAGTGAGAGGAGATAAAAAGAATTCTTCATTCCTGACCTTACATAGCATAAGAAATGTGACTAAAAAAATTTTTTTTTAATTTCCATTGCCCGGGATGGAACAGTAGTATATATTTGATATAGTATATAATAATAGAAAATAATGGCAATTCCTGTTTTGATTTTCAGGTTTACTTACATTATTGAGGACTTCATGAAATCCCAGGCCTCCCATCATCTTGGTCCCCATTCTAGCAGCCAATTGGTACATAAGAGGCAAAAATTTATAGGATGGAATCTTCATCCCATCTCTCTATTATTAAAAAAAAATACAAAATTAAGAAACGATGCATTTCAAATAGTCTCACACCTAAGCAAATAAATTATTCCAAGGTAATGCTCTTCAACTAGCACAACCACCTGGTGCTTGTAATTAACACTTTACAAATTACATTTTTTCCTGATTCTTCGGTAAGTCATAGCATTTGATCCTAAATTACACTGTATTGAAAACTGAAATACTTGGCATTGTTTATAATCCACTGACTTCCCAGGGGGATGAAATGTGGGTCTGAGGACCACAGTGATCTTGACTCCTGAGAAGTCAGTGTGTGGTAAAATGATATAATTACTACACTCTTTATGATAAGAGTAACAAGATTGTTCAATAGTAGCAGAGATCCGCTGTACGTATTATGAATCTTATCAGTCTTTTCATCCAGCAGAACCATTTTACTTTTAAACTTCAAATTCATTGTCATATATATAATTAAAATAACTTTAATAGTAAGTATCAATAAAATTTAATATTTATAAATAAAAATCAGTGAAATACTGCTGTACTGATGCTTCTATAAAAAATATATATATTTGTATTTACAAAAGTAATTCAATGTAAATTCCAGAAAAGCATAAAGTTAGGGGAAAACACCCACTTGTGATCAACTCATTTTTCACTGCTTTCCAAGTACCCAATCTAGGATTCTGGGTACTTTCTTGTGATAATTGCAAAGAAATAGGAACAGATTGACCTAAATTCTCCCATCTCCATATAGAACTGCATCATTACAGCTAACTAAGAATACCTATGTGTACTTGAACCTATGTGTACCATGAGCACTGAACCAAGTGCTAGGGATACAAAGAAGTACGTAACTCATGACACTGATGTACTGAATTCTAAGCTTTTAAAGCACAGGGTAAAATATTGGGTTGAAAACACAAGTCACCTTCATCATGCCATTGACTTCAGAAACTCCAGAATTTTCAAGCCAGAGGGAACAAAGACGAAATATCCACATATCATGCCCTTCTCCACTTAACAGGCAACTGATGTAATTTTCAACTGCTTTACATAAGAAACGTTTACGATCTTCTTTCAGTGCCCGGAGTGCACATTCATCCAGCTCTAGCTCTCGCTGAACCTTCACTGTGTATCTTGCATTAAACAGTTAAAGCACAACACAAAAGCCATCACATTTGACAGAAATACAAAGTCATTTATGATATACAACATCAACAAAAAACCAGAAAAAAGAAAATTCTGAGGATTATAAAGGGGACAAACTTATTTTATCTTTTTAAAAAAATTTACTTTTTGTCTTAAAATAAGTTTGTGCAATTCAAAAGCTATCCTAGGCAACCAAACCTAAGGTATTTAGTTAACTTACACTAAAATAAACAGACCAAAAGGTACTCTCAAATAAAAGGTTTAAATATATCAAAACAGGTAACCAAAAAGCTAACATCCTTATACTCTATAATAAGCTCAGAACCAGAGAATATCACTTCATGTGGGGTGGGGCAGGGGTGGGGTGGGGGTGTGTGTGTGTGTCCGTCCTTCCAAAAAACCAGTATTTATAAAAAATTGTGTATTTATTCTTATTTGTTTAAACTTCAGTCACCTTCAAAGTACTTTCAATTTGATGCAACATACCTATTGAGACATTTTTCCCATTGCTCAAAATAGTTCTGAACTCATCAATTTTGATGCCTTTTAGTGCTTCTGCTAGTTTTTGCTTCAATTCTTCCAGACCTACAAACCATTTCTCTTTGAGTACTTTTTTCATCGGGGAAACAAAAAGAAGTTGCTTAGAGAGACTGGGTGAATAGGGAGGGTGGGGCATGTGGGTCATGCCATTTTTGGTCATAAACTGCTGAACACTCAGTGTGGTGTGGGCAGGTGTGCTCCTAATTCACCCATCATGAAATGGGCAAACATGGTGAAAGACTCTTTAAAAAAAAAAAAAATTCACTGAAGCCGAACATAGTCTTTCACACCACCACCAGCTGGTACACTGATACAGATGGGTTCCTAGAACGCCCACCTAGTGGGGGAAGCCTATACTACAAAGAACTTGTCCTCCAGAAGATAATTCTGGTTTTGAGTCTCCCCCCATATATAGCCACTGTATACTTATGCATCTTGTCACTCCTACACACCTAGTTAGTTACCTGTTGTTGGCCTGAATTTTATGTTCCCTAAGAAGGCCCACTTCCTCTTTGGCCCTTTTCAGGAGAGCTTGTTTGTTTTCAAATTCTGATGATTTCATGTAGTTTTCAATTCTCTGATACTGAGTATCTGAGAACCGTGCTAATGAGAGAAATGCCTTCATTTTTCCATTTATGAGCTCCTCATTGTTTTCTCCATCACAATTTCCAGCAACTTCCACTGCCTTCAAGAAAATAAAATCCATTTCTATTATATTTACAGTTACCAAAGGCATCTAAAGAATCAGGTCAAAGAATCCCTACACTAATGCTTAATTTATTTATGTATCAGCTGAATTTATGACATACAGTATTTTCTTGACTTTTCAAAACTGATAATGACAGCTAATATTTGTAAAGACTTGTGCAAAAACAAAGTACTACATAAAACTTAAAGATAATCACTATTATGCTTTTCATATTACACTCATTTAGTGAGGTAACTATTTCCAAAATTAGTGAAACTAAAAAACTAGCTGGAGTACCAAAGTCCTAGTAATACTTGTTGGCTGGTTGGACTACAAATGAACAGCAAAGGTTGATTTGCATATTCCTTAATCAGCTAGTTTTATAGATAAATAAATGGAGACATGATCAGAAACAATTTGTTGAAAGAATAGCTGCAGTTGGGGGTAAAAGGAAGACACACTGGAGCTTACTTTCAAAATATGCTCCTGCTTTAGTAACATTTTGTTTCATTCTGCCCTAAAGTTATATAGAGCTACAATAATAATAATAAATGGGAAAGTGAAATCATACTTTATTTGCTTTTGATATAAATTTGGCCTTGATAAAAACATCAGGTGTATTCATGCTAAACAACTGTCTTAAGCACTGCTAGAAAGTCTTACCTTTTCTAGATAGGTCTGCATGATGACTGCAGGGTTTTCTAAGCAGGTTTCTGCTAACCAGTTGCCACAAACCCGCAGACATTCTGTGTATATAAGCTTTAGTTTGGGGTCATTCTGTGTTTGAAAAGCAAAATTTTAAAATGTAATTCATTATCAGGACTATACGAAAATATCTTCCACTTAGAAGAAAGAAGCAGGTTAACAATGTTTTTCTTTACCTCCTTTCACAACTATTTTAATAATCCAGGTATGTAAGCCTATGAAATAATCATCCTCTACTCTTTATAGTAGTAGTAGTATTATAACAACTCTCACTTATTGAGTACTTGTACATGCCAGGAATTTCCTAAGGGCTTTCTGTACATTAACACATATAATTCTATGAAATAAGTATTATTATCCATAATTTGCAGAGGACAAAGTAAAACTGAGTTTCAAAGACTGCAGGTAACTCCAGGGCAAATATTGTTAAGCAAATTTTAAACATTATATCATACTGGCTCCCAGTGCTTTGGTATAATAATAAATTCTCTATAATGGAAGATGTCATAAAAGTACCCATTACCAAAAGTACAGTAAGTTGATATTCACTAATCAGGGAATGTGAGGAGGACACCATTGTGACTAAATCTTTTAATACTTCATGGGACCTACTGTACAAATGCCTCTACTTTTGTCCACTGCATGCTGGAAATAAAGTTGGAGAAGCAGCCAAGTTCTCAATAAGTAATAGGTAATTTTAGATAAAATATAAGACATTATATTCTCAAAGTATTTAGACTGACAAGCTAGTTATGCCAACCTGATTTTAAAAAAACTTTTGTTCTCTCATGCATTTTCCTTTATTCCAAATTTATAATAGCTATTTCATGTTTGTTTCCCACATACCCTTCTGGAATTCTGTAGAAAGTTTTTAAAAAAGGCATTGGAATAAATCAAATAATTCTACCACGAGATGGCCTGATAGAATTGCTGAAAACAGAAAAATGAATACTTTCTAAATCCTTTTACCAATATTAATTTTCAGAATACTTCTTACATGTGAATCAGTAATTTCAAGGCTTTAATAGATTTATGAACTTATTAAAAACATTTAAAGCACAGTATTTTTTTTAAAACAGTAAAATACTAATTCAGCCAATAAAAAAGTGAACCTCTGAACAACTGGCATCCAACTTCTTGATCATGTGCTGGAGAATACTCAGGGCGAGACTCTGCTCCTTTTTCGCCCAGAATACTTGAGCTTCCTCCAGCTGCCACTCAGAGACTTCACAACTAGTTAAATTATACTGTTTAATTTTAAATATTGCCCTTTCGGGAAGCTGAAATGAAAATAACATATAAGTAAATACTTTTACTATTGTTACTACTACCACCACTAATAATAATAATGATATAATAATAATAATAATAATAATAATAATAATAAAAGAAGTAACTACCATTCATTGAGGACTAAACTACTGATCAGAATTATCTTATGTATATTTTCCTGCCTTCCTCAGCCTCCACTGTTTTTCTGCCTCTTTTTCTTATATCTATATATACGTGTATGTGAGTGGGAATATGCACAGTATGTAAAATCACTGAATTGTTACCAGTATAAGTTAGAAATCTTCTTATTTTATAGATAGAAAATTCAGGCTTAGAGAAGGTTAAGTGCCTTGTCCAGGCTGAAACTCGGAACTAATTCTAAACTGGGAAACCTTAGCTTAAACAATTACACTATACAGTATTCTAACAGCAATCTGTCTCTCAGTGACATTGCTTTTTGATTCATCCTTTCTATTTTCTAGATAATAAAAGGAAAGGTCAAGAAGTGAGATGACATAGATTCATGTCCCATTACCTGAGTGTTCTTGAAAGTTCGGGCCAGTATAGAGAGTTCTACAAGGTGCTTGGTGAGAATGTCCTGAAAACATTCTTTTTGGGAATTCTCCATGTCCTTTTCCATCAAGAGCTCCAAAATGACTGTGCGTAGAGCCATGATAGGCTCTTGAAAACCAAAATCACTGTCTTTGAGAAGGTGGGAGTGTTTCTGCCACTTTATGTACACTTCAGAGGGTTGCTTACTCATGACTGACCTGAAAGCAAAGTCACAGAATTCATGGAAACAAGAAAAATGAATAAAAATTGCTATGATGCAGATTCTAAATTTAAGATATAACATGAAGGTGCTTTTATGGTAACAAGACTAAAACTTCTAAATACACGAAAATAAGGATCAAATGTAGAAAACTACACAATGGTCTGAACTCGGAGGATCAGCAGAGAGGCCATAGACAACGAACATTTTAAAAGATTTCTTAAAATATTCAGACTTCACAAAAAGCAGCATTTCTAAATATACCGTCTTCTAAAATGAGAACATATTCAGGCCTCTCATGAGAGATGCCTAGACCTCCAGTTCCGTTTCAATACTCCGTGTAGTAAAAGAGTGCATATCAGCAAGGAAAGGAAATCAACCTATTAATTAACAACAGTACTCATCAGGCATAGGGGAGGACTCCATGCATTATAGCAGCTGTTAGGAAATCACTATCCATGTACATAGAAAACCCTGTAGACTCCACCAAAAAACTACTCAACCTAATAAGTGAATTTGGCAAAACAGCTGGATACAAAGTCAATATTCAGAAATCAATGGCATTTTTGTACACCAGCAATGAAAAAGAAGAAGAGATCAGAAAAAAAATGCCATTCAATATAGCAACAAGGAAAATACAGTACCTAGGAATAAATTTAACCAAGGAGGTAAAAGACCTATACGCAGAAAACTATACAACATTGAAGAAAGAAATTAAGGAAGACACAAATATATGGAAGCATATACCATGCTCATGGATTGGAAGAATTAATATCATCACAATGTCCATACTACCCAAAGCAATTTATAGATTCTACGCAATTCCTATTAAGATACCAATGACAGAAATAGAACAGACATTTCAAAAATTTATACGGAACGATAAACGACCCTGAATAGCTGCAGCAATTTTGAGAAAGAAGAACAAAGTAGGAGGGATCACAATACCACACATCAAACTATACTACGAAGCCACTATACTCAAAACAATCTAGTACTGGTACAAGAACAGACCCATAGACCAGTGGAACAGAATAGAAAGCCCAGAAATAAGCCCAGGTCTCTATGGGCAACTAATATATGACAAAGGGTGCAGAAGCATAAAATGGAGTAATAATAGCCTCTTCAACAAATGGTGTTGGGAGAGCTGGACGGCTACATGCAAAAAATTGGAATTGGATCATCAGCTGACACCATACACAAAAATAAACTCAAGATGGATGAAAGACTTAAACGTAAGTCGCAACACCATCAAAGTCCTAGAGGAGAACATTGGCAGGAACCTCTCAGATATCCCACACAGCAATTTTTTCACCGATATGTCTCCTAAAGCAAGGGACGTAAAGGAAATAATAAACAAGCGGGACATCATCAAAATAAGAAGCTTCTGCATGGCTACAGAAAACAGCAGCAAAATGAAAAGGGAGCCAACTCTATGGGAAAATATATTTGCTAATGATACATCAGATAGAGGTTTGATCTCCAAGATATATAAAGAACTCACTCAACTCCAGTCCAGGAAGACAAACGATCCAATCAAAAAATGGGCAAAGGCCCTGGGCAGACGCTTTTTCAAGGAAGAGATACAGAGGGCCCAGAGACATTTGAAAGGATGCTCGGCATCACTAGCCATCAGAGAAATGCAGATCAAAATCATAATGAGATACCACCTCACACCGGTCAGAATGGCCATCAGAAACAGATCAACAAACAACAGGTGCTGGCGAGGCTGTGGAGAAAAGGAAACCCTAGTCCACTGTTGGTGGGAATGCAGACTGGTGCAGCCATTGTGGAAAGCAGTGTGGAATTTCCTCAGAAAGCTGAAAATGGAACTGCCTTTTGATCCAGCGATTCCCCTTCTGGGACTATACTCTAAGAATCCCAAAACACCAATTCAAAAGAACCTATGCACCCCAGTGTTCATAGCAGCACCATTTACAACAGCCAAGTGTTGGAAGCAACCTAAATGCCCATCAGTAGATGAGTGGATCAAAAAATTATGGTACATTTACACAGTGGAATACTACACAGCAGAAAGAAGAAAAGAACTACTAAACTTCGCGACAGCATGGATGGAACTAGAGAGCATTATGCTAAGTGAAATAAGCCAAGGGGCGAAAGACAAATACCATATGATCTCACCTATAAGCGGAACCTAACCAACAGTACAAAGATGCAAGGAAAATAAGACCAGCAACACTGAAAGAAAAAGAAACCTACAGAGACAAGAGGGAAGGAGGGGGGTGGGCAAGGGAAAAGGAAGGGAAGGGGCAAGTCAAGGAACGTATAGCAAGGAATCATGGACAAAACCAAAGTGGGGAAGGACTGAGGGAGGGAGAGGGAGGAGGGAGACAAGGGAAAATGGTGGGGGAAAGGCAGAGACAAATGTATTTGGAAAAATAAATAAATTAAAAAAAAAGAAAAAAGAAATCACTATCCAGTGAAGGAAATGATGGTACAGGTTTCAGACACCAACATTATTTATTAAAGGAAGAGAAAATGCGTATTGTACAATTAGTTTACATGAACAGTATGTTTCCCAGGTGTTTAACTAGGCAACATTCTCTAATCATTCAGAAGCACTGTATTGAGAGAAATTAATATGAAGCAGGGAAGAGAAAGAAGGTGACAAGGTGCTGATTAGCAAATGAAAGCTCTTCTATTGCTTAATAAAGGACACAGTGACATCAATTCATAGGAACCAAAACTAATTCCTTCCAAGATAATCCTAGAGCAAGAGGTATCAAATTTTTTAATCTTAGGAATTCTTTTACACTCTTTCAAATTATTGAAGACTCTAAGGAGCTTCTTAATTGGATTATATCTACTGATATTTACCGTATTAGAAACTAAAGCTGATAAAACATCAAACACATATTCATTTATTTAAATAACAATAAATCTACTATACATCCTAAGTAACATTAAAAAAAAACACACTTCTCAAAACAAAATTTAGTGAGAAAATGTTATTGAATCATATTCTGCAAATCTCTGATGTCTTGGTTAATAGAGATAGTTGAATTCTCTTCTTTGATTCTCCATTTGGTTTGTTGTGATATGATGTTTTGGTTAAAGTATATGAAGAAAATTTACCCTCATACAGGTATGTAGCTGAAAAAGGGAGGGGTATGTTAATAGTCTTCACAGATAATTGTGGGTATGTCTTTTCAGATACCTCCAAAACTTTATGGACCACATGAAAGAATGAGAGGAAAGAAAGAAAGAAAAGAAAGAAAGAGAGAGAGAGGAAGGAAGGAAGGAAGGAAGGAAGGAAGGAAGGAAGGAAGGAAGGAAGGAAGGAAGGAAGGAAGGAAGGAAAGACATCTTACTATAAGTATAAAGATAGTTTTGTGCCATGGACCCTCTGAGTAGGCTCATCAAACTTTCCGTCTGCCTTACTTCCTTGTAATTCCCTATCAGAAAAAGAGCCAGTATTACTCTTCAGGGGTTTCTTAAGGTATCCTATCCTGTCTTTAGTATGACATTTTTCATTCAGAGGAGAAGTTCCTAGATTACTGGCAATACGAACTACCAATATACTTATGAGAGCAGAAAGTGGTTTTGTTTATTTTCTAATTAATGCCCTTTTGAAAAACCATATTATTTCCTGACTCTAAAATTTCCTTCTCCTTTCTGCTCACAAAGCATATTCAAAGCTTTAGTTTAGCATAAAATTATACCCTCTTTCCTTCCTCGGATAATAGTAATAATAATGACTCAGAATGCCAGAGCTACAAGGGCCCCTAGAGGCCATCAAATATAAATCTCCCATATTAGAAATGAGGAAAGTGAGGTCCCCCCAAATAAGTGACTTTCTCAGGGTCAAAAAAATCAAAACTGAGATTAATAGTTGAAGGAGACAGACACAGACAACAGATTCCTAGTAGTCTTGAACAGACTGCCTAAGGTAACACAGGTCAACACCTGAGATCATCAGAGGCGATCCAGAAAGAAAAAAACAGTGGTCTCCCACCACAGAAGCTCATACCACAAAGTCAGGAAATCAAGACAGAGCAATTTAAGAAGCAGAAGCAAAAAAGAAGAGTCTCACAAATAATGGGAAGACAAAGAAACACTCCCCAGTCGAATGGAAAGGAGGAATCCTCAGAAAGAGAACTAAATGAAATAGAGGCAAGTAAACTACCAGATACTGAGTTCCAAACAATGGTTCTAAGGAAGCTCAATGAGCTCTGTGAGCTCAGAGAGAATTACAAAAAACTACAGGGAAACTAGGAGGAACTTACTGCAAACTATATCCGCATGAAAAAGGACATAGAAACTATCAATGAGAGACAAGAGGAAATGAATACAATTTCTGAAGTGAAGAACACAGTAGAGGAAATCAAAAGCAGGCTAGATGAAACAGAGGACTGAATCAGCAAGCCGGAGGATAAGGTAGAAAAAAGCTCCCAGAAAGAGCAAAATAGAAAGACTCAAAAAGAATGAAGAGGCATTTTGGGAAGTGCTGGACAACCTGAAAAGTAATAATATCCGTATAATAGGGATACCAGAAGTAGAAGAGGAGGAAGGGATAGAGAACCTGTTTGGAAAAGTAAGGATGGAAAACTTCCCTAATCGGAGGAGAGAAAAAGTCACACAAGCCCAGGAAGCACAGAGGGACCCATTCAAGAGGAACCCAACGAGGCCCACTCCAAGACACATCATCATTAAAATGGCAAATATCAAAGACAAACAGAGAATCCTAAAGGCAGCAAGGGAGAAACAGGTAGTAACATATAAGGGAGCCCTGATATGGCTAGCACCTGACTTCTTAACAGAAACACTACAAGCCAAAAGGGAATAGCAAGAAATATTTCAAGTCATAAAAGGCAAAAGCCTGCAACAAGACTGCTCTACCCAGCAAGGCTCTCAGTTAAAATGGAAGGTGAAACAAAGAGTTTCTCAGACAAAAGAAGGCTAAAAGAATACACCTCCACCAAACCAGCACTGCAAAATATGCTAAAGGGACTGCTTTAAGAAGATGAAGAAAAAGAATCTATCAATACCCAGTTCCTTTCACAGTCACCAATACTTGACTTACCAATATTTTTAATACTTAATCTGATTGTGACAATGATGTTATTTTAATTGTTACTTTATTATTTGTTAAAACTAAACCTGTTTTTGTATATTTCTTGCCTATTTCTATTATTTTTAAAAAGCTCTAAATGACTTTTTGGTATTCTTTATCCATTTTTTAATTAAATGTTTGTAGAATTTTTTCCCTTAAAAACAAAACAAAAACTATTAACCCTTTTTTAGATGTGTTACAAATACTCTCCTATTCTATTACTTGTCCTTTAACTTTTTTTATATGTATATTACTATATAGTCTTAAATGTTTAATATATTCATATTGTCAATATTGTCCTTTACAGCTTCTGGGTTTGAATATGTTATTTCAGGGTAAGAAAAATATTAGTTTGTATTTTCTCCTAAAACTCCTTAGATCTTTACATATTGATTTTTAATTCACCTGAATATTTTTTGTATAATGTGTGAAATATGGCTCTACATTTGTTTTATTTCAAGTAATAGTGGTCCATGCACCTTATTTGTTTTATAAGCCTTATTTTCCCCATTGATTTGAAATACCAATTTAATCATAGTTTACATTGTTAGACAGATATATACGTTTGTTTCTAGGAAGAAAATAAAAAAGTCCAAACTGAGATCTGTAGCATCCGGAAGAGGTGCTTTAGCTCATTTTCCAATACTCAGGATCACTTCCTTCTCACCAATATAAAGCCAATCTCCCCTACATGACTCTAAATTCACTGACAGTCACTGAATAAAGACCACTGAATGTTTAGTATGAATCAGTCACCAGAAAAATGCACTAGGGATACAACAATACACAGGAGAATGGGCCCCTCCTTTACGGAGCCTCTAGTATAGCATGGCAAAGTCTCTATAAAATGACACTAATGCCAACGCAGTGCTAGAATGGAGTATGTAATATGCTCATCTAGGGTAGAAAAGGGACAACGCTGTAAAGAGGAAAACATAGCTCTGGCTGGTGTGGCTCAGCAGGCTAAAGCATCATCTTCTAAAAAGAAAGGTTGCAGGTCAATTCCCAGTCATGGCACAGGCCTGGATTGCGGGTTCGGTCCCCATTAGTGCCCATATGAGAGGTGACCGATAGATATTTTTGTCTCTCCCTTTCTTCCCCTCTCTCTAAAATCAATAAGCATAACCTCAGTAAGGGATTAAGAATGAAAAAGAAAAAGGAAACCACATAAAGCTAAATATTAAAACTTGAATTTTTACATTCAATATTTTTGAAAATGTTTAATAAGACCACAGGACCACAGTTCACTAGGCTAATCAACATCTTGAAAGAGCAAACCTCCTGTTTGCCTCTATTCTGATTTTTAAAGTCACTGCTGGTAACAGAAAACCACAATTGAGAATAACAAAGCCATATGAATCACACACCTTGAGAAGATCTCCCCGATGTTTTCAAGCTCTCCGATGGCCTGCAATCTGCTAAGTGTGGGGTAGAGTGAATACACAGACTCAAGGCTGCCCTTACACAGCTCTTCTACTTCTTTTACTCTAGTAGCAAAAAATAAAACAAAAAAAAACAAAACAAAAAACAGGCCAATTAGAAAACTAAGAAGAGGTTTTTAGGAAAGCAAAAGTTAAAATCTATTGGTAAAGAGTTCTCAACACAGGCTCTGATTTTGATCTAACAATACTAATATTCACAAGCCCAGCATAATGCAGTGAAAAAACAAAGTCTGGAATCGCACAGAGCTCAATGTACACTTATCGCTGTTATAACGTTGGCCACATAATTGGTTTCCTCTGAATCTAAGCTTTTCTCTTCCAGAATTATTTTGAAGATTAGAGAATACATATAAAAAAGCCTAAGAGTCAAGTACATAATAAGCACTTAAATGGTAGCAGTATTACTTCTGTAACAAAATATACGATTTAATAGGTAACTAGCTACTGCTAAACATACGTTAGTGCTTTCTGGTACAATGTCTCATTTGTGTCTTATCACAAGGCTCTAAGTATTGACTATTGGTCACCACTTTATATTAAAAAGAAATGCTAACAGTAAAAGAGGTAAATTCCATACAATTACTAAAAAGAATAAGATTAAAACTCTGAGTGTACTGGTTCAGAGAGAAAACAGAGGCATGGCAATCAGCAGAACTTTGGTGAGAGTTCAGTGTAAATAACTCACCTGGAGTCCTAAAGAAAATGTTTTTTTTAAAAGGAAAGAGTGTATTTGAACCGAACAAAGATAAATGTATTACATAAGAAAAAATTATGTAACTACGTAGCATATGAGCATGCTCCAACATCTAAAATAAAAACTAAAAACACTGTAATACATACACACACACACACATATATATTTGACAAATGTGCATTAAAGAATTCTCTAACACGTAACATTTAGAACGCAAAGAATATTTTTTCAAGTCAGAAAATAATTAAGATATACACATCCACAATTCTTATAAAAACATGCTTGCAGAAGATAAAACTCATCTGAGCACTCATTTCTCAGATAAGGAAAAGCAATGGAAATGTTAAACAATGGATACTGCCCTCCCATTTGCAGTGTTTAAGTTTCAACACTAATTCGTATGAATTTTTTATTACACAGGCAATTGTTTTGAGAGGAGGGTAGGAATGACAAGGAAGTAACCTGACTCTAGCCACCAAGTCCTTATCACTTTACCAGGGCAAATCCATACACTGAAATCATTTGTCAAGTTTTCAGAAAAGAAGCTATGACATTAAATGTTAAAATACAATGTCTTTCTTATAATAGTACCTGGCATATTTGACACTTTCATAAAATGTGGTGAATTCTCTGTCTCTTAGAGACTGCAAAGCATTGTAGAGTGATTCGTGGTAACTGGCTCCTTCTATTCCTTTGCTGTGAGATAATTTTAAAAATAAAAGAAAAAAGTATTTTAAAACAAAAAAATCTTAAAATATACATGCATAAATAATTTCACCAAGAAACCACATTTTCAAACTGCAATTAAGATTTCTCCATTTTAAAAAATGCATTTCTAGAAATTTTGGTAAGAAATACAAAGAATTAGATCCTTTAAATCTTCGAGCAAAAAAAAAAAAATTCTGACATATTGTGCCTGGTTCTAATTATTCTATATTTTCACTTATACATTCAATAAACATTTCCTATCTGCCAGAACCTAGGCACCTGCTTCTAGATGCAGACAAGTCAGATCAGGTCCCCATTCTCATGGAGTTTATGTTCTGGTTTGGAGAAGATGGACAAGAGGTAAGAAAAATATCAGGTAGTGACATGGAACATGACGAGATTTAAAATAGAGTAACAGAATGACTACTTTAGAATGGGTAATGAGGAAAGATCTCACTGAGATGTGACATTATTAAATTAGAATCTGAATGATAAGAAGCCACACAAGGTAACGGGGGATAAAAAAAGACATGTTAGGCATTTAGGTAGAAACAGCTTGATCTCATGATATAAAAGAGAAGGATGACGTGGCTGAAACAGAGCAGACGAAGGAAAGGAGAGTATATGGTGATTTATATACAAAGGCAGGAAGGAACAAGATCACAGACTAAAATATTTTAAAAACATGACAAGTGTATCGCTAATTGCACAGCAATCTAATTGTTTGCAATTTGAAAGACACCCCAATTAACAAAAAATTTTTTAACTATGTAATCAGTTAAACATAGTTAGTTTGATTTTTCTGCTGTTCATATCTTCAGAAGACTTTTTTTAACAAAAATAAAAAACTTCAATTAACTAAGTATTTGGCTTTTATTCAGAAAACACTGTGGTCTTACATACAGGTTATAAATGTTACCTTCTTGTGTTAGTAATTTAGCTGCATTATTTGATAAAAAGAAATATTTCATGAATAAAAAAGTTAAACAGTCTTTTGTGTATCATTAAGCCAATAAAAGTACTAACTAAAATGTTTGTGATAGGGAGTTAGAAGAGAAGTTCCTATAATTTTTTAAAAATTTGTAAATATAAGTTAGAAGATTCTCATGAGAAAATACGTTTTATATTTTTCTTTTCAATCACACTTTTGGGTGGGTTTAGAATTTCTCTAATGTAAGAGAGTAAAATTCAAGCCTAGGTACATTATCTGCTTATTGCTATCTTATTTAAGCCTTTTGGCATATCCATAGCTTGCAATATCTCAAAAACATAAAACAAAATTCCTGTTGCATTCAGAGCAGTATTTTAAAAGTGTACTGTTTATAATCAGAGAAATGATGATTGAAAATGTCAGAGTTCTTCTTACTTAACAGAAATGCAGTGGTCCCACTGCATATTCCTCCATGCTGCTTGGTAATGAAGTTCCTGTAGTTCAGCACAGTGCTCTTTATTTTCATGATCTAATCCTCTTAAATAGACAGAAAGAATATGGCAGAGTCCCAGATTCTGCAAGGCCTGAGCAGGAGTTTAAAAAACATAAGTAATCAAAGATAACAGTAGAGAAACAAAAAATAACAATCAAACATGAAAAGTAACTTTTTAAGGATTTTAGTAGTACTGAATATATCACTAAAATTTCTGAAATGCTGATTGTTATGTTCTCCCAAAACACTAGATAGAACTCAAAGGACTCTAATATTTGATGGGAGAATGGTTAAAATACATCAGTTATTAACAGAAATGATGTCTTCTGGGTCCAACTCTAAGGCAAACTATAAGAAACAGTTTACATGAGATTATCCAGGTGAAGGACTGAGTCACTACCTGGCACACTGTACACAGTCAAGACATGTCTCCGACTGTTAGCTAATACTTTCATGTTAAACAAACCTACATTATCTTTTAGGTCAGTGCCCTATCCAGTTACCTGTTCATTCCTCTGACTATTCAGCCCAATCCCTGAAAAACAGGTGATTTTCAGTCTTATATCGAATACCTAGAATTTATCTGACTATGTCAAAATTCCTCTGACATAGTGAAATAATCTCAGCACTACGCTTGTAGTAGATCCTAAAGCAGGAAAAAAAAAAAATACCTGAATTATTCCTGCCTGGCGAGTTGATGAAGGGATTGCCGACTCAAGGTCGTATGTTACGAGGGCTTTCTCCCACATTGCTTCATGTTCATATGTTCGGAGTCTACAATTTAAGATTTCAAAATACTTTTGAGTTCCATGTCCATGTAACTCCTTTACAAACAGTATTATAATAACATTACCTAGAAAAATGCGATTTACCTAGTCAGGGGTTGTAGAATCTTTCCTCCACCACAGCCATACAGACTATCTGGCTCTCCTATACTTCTGTAGATTTCTAAGAGCAGATCCTAAAAATAGGGAAACAACAAAAATTGGAGGAAAAAACCATCACTTTAAAAATTTAGTGAATTGGACATTTACCAACAAATAAATCTCAATTCTAAATGCTATGTTATAAAGTAAAATATGATACTGAAAGAAATATTAAAGATTTGGATTAGCAACCCAGAAAGATCCCAGACAACAGAATGATGGTGTAATGCCTGAGAAAAGTTGCACAGAATCTGATGAATTAGAAAAGAAATAAATTCCAACCAACCAGACTTTTAACACATGCAAATATCATCTGAAAAACCCCCCAAAAAACCCAGCTAAGGACTTCTGGGTAAGATGGAGGTGTAGATAGATATGCTTTGCTTCCTCGCACAACCAAAAGGACAACAAACTTAAAAATAAAAAACCAGAACTGCCAGAAAACCGGACTGTGTGAATGTCCCACAACCAAGGAATTAAAGAAACATTCATTCAGACTCATAGGAGGAGTGAAGCTGAGCAGCCAGGCAAAGAGGATGTATGGCAGCAGCTGGCGGACTGAGTGGGCGAGGTGGCAGCTGGCGAACCACAAACTGAGCGGTTCCACAGTTGCATGCAGATAAGCTGGGAGGAACAACTGGGGAGCAAGACAGACCACACAACCCAGGGTTCCAGCGTGGGGAAACTAAAGCCTCAAAACCCTATGGCTGTAAAAAGTTGTGGGTGCTGCAGTGGGAGAAACTCCTAGACCTACAGGAGAATTTGTTGGAGAGACCCAAAGGGTCCCAGAAAATACATCCACCCACCCACCCACCCAAGAATTGGCACCAGAAGGGCCCAATTTGCTTCTAGGTAGCAGGGAAAGTGACTGAAAGCAGGGGGAGAACCCAGCAAGCAGCATTTGTTCCCTATCTGATCCCTCCCCCACATATAGCACCACAACTCAGTGAGGTGAGTGGCCCCACCCTGACTAATACCTAAGGCTCTGCCCCTTACTATGTAACAGGTGTGCCGAGACAAAGAAATATGGCCTGAATGAAAGAACAGATCAAAATTCCAGAACAACTAAGTGATGAACAGATAGTCAACCTATCAGATGCAGACTTCAAAACACTGGTAGTCAGGATGCTCAAAGAAATGATTGAGTATAGCTGCAAAATAAAGGAAGAAGTGAAGGCTATACAAAGTGAAGTAAAGAAAAATCTATAGGGAACCAACAGTGAAGGCAAGGGAATGGGACTCAAATCAATGACTTGGAACACATGGAAGGAATAAACATTCAACTGGAAGAGAATGAAGAAAAAAATTCAAAAAAATAAGGAGAGGCTTAGGAATCTCTGGAACAACTTTAAATGTTCCAACATCCAAATCATAGAGGAGGAGAAGAGAAAGACCAAGAAATTGAAACTTGTTTGAAAAAATAATGAAAGAAAACTCCCCCAATCTAGTGAAGGAAATAGACAGACAAGTCCAGGAAGCTCATGGACTCCCAAACAAGTTGGACCCAAAGAAGAACACACCAAGACACATCTCAATTAAAACACCAGAGATTGAAGATGAGGAGAAAATCTTAAAAGCAGCAAGAGAAAAGGAGACAGTTACCTACAAAGGAGTTCCCATAAGACCATCAGCTGATTTCTCAAAAGAAACCTTGTAGGCAAGAAGGGACTGGAAAGAATTATTCAAAGTCATGAAAGGCAAGGACCTCCATCCAATATTACTCTATCCAGCTATCATTTAGAATGGAAGGGCAGAAAAATTGCTTCCCAGGTAAGGTCAAGTTAAAGGAGTTCATCATCACCAAACCCTTATTATTTGAAAGGTTAAAGGGACTTATCTAAGAAAAAGAGATTGAAACTATGAACAGTAAAATGACAACAAACTCACAACTATCAACAACTGAACCTAAAAATCAAAAACAAACTAAGCAAACAACTAGAACAGGAACAGAATCACAGAAATAGAGATCACATGGAGGGTTACCAGTGGGGAGGAAGATGAGGATGAGGGACAATGGGGAGAAGGCACAGAGAATAAAAAGGATAATTGGTAGGCATAAAATAGACAGGGGGAGGTTAAGAATAGTATAGAAAATGGAGAAGCAAAGAACTTACATGTATGACCCATGGACTAAGGGACCAGACTGCTGGAGGGAATGGCGGTACCAGGCTGAGTGGGACAAAGGAGGTAAAGCTGAGACAACTGTAATAGCATAATCAATAAAATATATTAAAAAGACAAACAATAAAAAACAGCTAAATTGTAGATGGGAAAATGACATGCTGTAGCTTAGTCTGACTCTTGAAATGAAATTTGATAACAGTTAAAAGTCATGAGATTTTCTTGGAAAGAATAACAAAAACTGTATTATGTTATAACTGGTAAAATGTGATATAAATAAAGAAGTGGTTTGGTAACTGAAGTCTCTGTTTTAAAATTTACACAGATAAAAATTAATTTAGTTTAAGCCATCTTGGTAAAATAAAAATAAAAACTGAAAATGTTGGAAACTGTATTGCATAGAAAATTGGTTGGGCAATTTCACTGCCTAAAGAATGCGTGCTCCAGAGGCTATTTCCTCAAAAAAAATTCATTAATACTGGCATCATTCTGTAATTGTAAAAAACTGGGGTTTTTTTCATAAACATGAACTCAAGCTCTCCATGCTGGAACATTCATTACTTAAGCTTAGCTCAGTGCCTGGTACACAAAAAATATTCCAAAAATTCTGCAAAAGAGGGTAAGACTATAAAGAAGCAAAAAAGGAGAAAAAATGGGAGCCTGGAATAAAAAAATGTAGATAAAACATATTGTAAGCAAGGCATGGTTGATAGTGTTAATTGTTAATGAAACACTGAGAAACATGTTGAATGAAAGGTGACCACCAGACTTAGTAACATGAAGTGTACAGGGGACATTAGCAAGTGCTATGTCAGTGGAGAGAGTGGAAGGAGAGGAAACGGAGACACCAAATACAGATGACGCTTTTGAAGTTTTGCTGTGAAAGGAAGAGAGATAAAAAGGGTGACACCTAAGAAAAGAAACAACACTGGGATGAAAAAGACATTTTCTGGTAGGTTGAAGGAAGATGCTTTTAATAAAGAAAGTTTAAAAAGAGTTTGGATATGTTGAGAGAGGGCACAGCACACTTAAAAATAACTTTGTGAGAAAGAGATGATTAAAAACAAAGCACTGGAAGAAAGATTAGTCTTGGACAGAAAAAGAAACTATTTCTCCAATATATGTAGGGGAAATATTAGATGGGAGCAGACACAGGGAGATTTCTATGTCAGATAGTAGATTGAAGTGGGATATACTATCTATGTTGCCTGTTTTCTCCAGAAGTAGGAGGCAAGCTTGAAAGCAAACACAAAGAGGAGATCAGAAGTTTAGGCAAAGTGAAAAAGTTGCAACTATCATTTCAGAGGAATGAATTGACCCAAGATATTCAGTAAGAATAGGCCAACTTAAAAGTAGATATTAACTAATTTATAGAAAAAGCAGTTTTCCCTGAGATGTGACATACAATAAATAAGTAAAGAAACAAGTTTGTAATTACAAATGTTAAGTGCTATATGGAAAATAAACAGGGTTCTGTGGCAGAAAATATATGGTATAGATTACTGTATGATAAGGGTAGTTTTAGGTCAATTTTCCTGATTAAAATAAGCCAAGAGTACAAAGGTTAAATTGGTGTAAGATTATACAATTTTGTGGTAGAGGCAGGATTAGAACTCAAGTTTGTCTACTCCAAGGCCAAAGCTGCAAACTATGAATTTATGTATGTGACACTCAGTGCAAAAAGTAAGTTCAGTTTGAAAGTTAAATGACATCAATACAGCTTCTATAACAAAATAACCCAAAGTATAAAATAAATATTATCACAAAGAAGAGGGCCTATAAACATTTACCTGTAAACTTATTCCAGTTTCTTCTTTACTTTTTTCACTCAAGCTTGAAATTGTTGTATTTTGGCTTTCTTCTTCAAATGCAGGATTTCTGTCACAAAACACTTCTTTTAATGACAATATACTATTTTGATGTTTGTGAATACATATATAATAAACTTTGATGGAAAAACTAACAAAGGTAACAAAATAGTGAACCATTTATACTTTCAAACATAATAAATAGCATTTAGGCCTAGAATGAAAAAAAAATTGTGAATATTAATTTTTCAATGAGGATTACATTTTAATGACAATGTCATATATGGAAAAAAACTATATGCCAAAATATGGTTATTTATATAGATAGGCTTGTTCAAAAATAGAGCAGGTGACATAATACAGCTCCTAACTGCTTTGCCAGTGGTTTTACCTAAAGTTTAAGTTCATTAATAATCACAGGCATACCAATTAAGATGATACTGAAACACTACTTAGCACCTGATAAATGGGCAAAAATTAAGACGTCTGAGAGTATTAACTGTTGAGAAGCCTACATCCAAGATTATGAAACCAATAAATGGTACTAAGGATGAGAACTCAGATTTGTCTGCTATAAGGCCTTAGCTTTAAACCAGGTATTTATATATGATAGTTATTTGTATAAGTAATTTCATTTCTGAAATTGCGCAACCTACACAGTGTCTATAAAATATGTGATAGCACCTCTGTTATTTATTTATAAACTTATTCTTCTTTATTCTTTACTTTTTTCACCCAAACTAGAAATAGTTGTACTTTGGCTCCCTCCCTTCTTCAAATGTAAGGCCTCCTACTGATCCACTTCCTGGCAAACCACACTCATAAGTATGCAAATTGGCATAACCATCTGAAAAAACAATTTGGCATTATCGTATAAGGTTGAAAATTTATATATCCTGCCACCTAGTAGTTCTACACTTAGGTATACATCATTAACAGGAAGAGGCAAATTATGGCATATTCTCTCATTGGTACACTATGTGGCAGTGACAAATTAATGAACTACAGCAGCACACAACATAAATAAAATCTTACAAAAATATTTCATGAAAAAACAAGTTGTAGAAAATACATATAATTTCTTATAATACTTAAAAATAAGGAAAACTATCATATATTTAGAGGTTCATACTCACATAACAATATCACCTAAATGAATGATGATAACCACAAAACAGAAGATAAAATTTCCCTGTCGGAGGGAGCACAGAGGGATGGGACAGAGACCACTGACTGACATAATGGTGCTGACAATATTCTACTTTGCTTCACAGCCTTTATACACAGATATTACACAGATTTTCCTTATTGGCAAGGCATACAAAAAGAAGTTATTAGAGGAGAATTTGGAAAGTAGGAAAGACACTATTAGAGACTGTGAATCTAAGTCTAAGGCTAAGGCTGTAATTCATCCAGACAAAAAAATGGAATTGGCAGGACTTTTGTCAGGAACGCTGAAATGACGGAGGTTGTAAACTAATGACACTTGTCTAAATCCTGTTTGAAGAAGTTCTGACTTCTTTCTAAAAAAAAAAAAATTAGGGATACTAACCTTTGAAATCTCATACTTTCTCAGAAGCAAGTTACAAGTAAATAAAACTTGATATGTATTTTTGAATACCTAGTATGGAGACATTTTGCTATAAAATGACTTGAATAAAAAAGTTGAGAGCAATTAATTTCTTGCACATGACAGTGTTTGTAAACTGTTCATTTGTGTTTTGCTTTCAGCTACTCTTTTCCCGATCACCTTAAATTTACAAAGTGCCAGTTCACCTCAGTTACTAAACAACACTGGCATTCCCTTCACTCTGTACACCTCATATCTGTTTGCCCTCCCATTCCCATCAGGCATCTGGGAAAAAAAAAAAAATCAAAACTAGAGTCTTAAAGCAAACAGCAAGTGCTATTTATCTGTCAAGCACTTTTTCCAAATGTCAACCAAAGTAAAATGTAGGCACTTCTGCTTTAAGACAATTAATTTTGCAAAAACTTGCCACATTCTATATAATCACCTACCCTCAAATTAAAGGTGCTTTTATTTATACTCATAGAAGAGTCAATTACACGAGATTAGTAAGAAATATCATTCTATGGAACCAAGATACTGAACCACATTTGGATTATAATTACTACTACCAAGTGTGCAGGCCCTGATTCAAAATTTCAAGACTCTGAGAAGAGGAAAAAATAAATTTTTTATTCAATATATACTTAAAGGACAACATACTTGTCTTCACAGAAAGTCTACAGCAACTTGCGAACATATCAATTATATATTATACACATAATCTACAGATTGTCGGTTTTAACCTGTTTTCAACTGGAAAGTAGAAATTAAGTACTAAACCAGAGAGTGAAGAAATCAGTTCCAGTCCTCTAAATCACTCATGTTTGGACTAGGGTCTGTTTTCTGTCATTAGTTTCCCCCAGACTAAAGACCACACTGCTTCCAACTTAATTACAATTCAAAATAGAAATTCTAAGTAGCAAGCAAGAGAAATGTATCAATATAATACATATTTACTATTTCAATTTTGTAACATAAATGATTTTCTGGTAGAAATATAAAAATAAACACTAGGCCATTTCAATTGAATAAAAATTTGAGAAGAGTAGGGGGTTATGAACTGTATTTTGTCCTTGAACTTTTTTGACTTTTTTGTTTTTCACTATTACATAGGACTATACTTATTAAATACTTATGAGAGTTCCAACTTACAGGAAAAGCAAATTAAATAGAAATACAGGTGGGTAATAAATACAGTAACAAAGGTGATTTAGGCACAGAAATAAATGTTACATTGCCTCATAATCAATAAATAATATGGATCTTGACTAAGCTGAGGAAATGGTGGTAAACTTAGTTTAACTGAAATCAGGGGCTCACTCAACTATTTTAAAAATATTTACTGTTGACTTATGTAAGTTTCCAATGCTAGCTGCTACAGGGAACACAGGGAAAAAGAAGTATGCTCTCTGTCTCCAGTAGCTCCTTATCTGGGTAATTTTTACGATACTTAAGTATAAATATCTCCAGAACAGAATTACTCTGTTCTGGAGGAAAAAAACTATCCTCTCTATTTAAAAGATAGAAAACTATCTAAAAATATCATTAAATGAGGACGTGACAGCAAAAATCTTTAACAACTTTATTAAAACAATGTCAAAACCCATTTTAAAAACCAAAACTTGTAAATCCCATTACCTTTTCTCTTGATCATCCATGTTTTTCCTGTCTGCATAGATTTCTGCATAGAGTAATGCTGTAAAGTGAGCCGCACAAGACTGAGCTACCTTGGCAACCTCTAGATAATTCAACTCCAGCCAGAAAGCATCATCAAACACTGTTCCTGAAGAAGATCTAAAGAAGATTTTTAAATGAAGTCATGTCCATTTCTTTAACTTCAGTATTAAAAGAAAACTATGTTGATATAAAATACAATGTTAGGAAGTACTAGTTAAAAATGAAAATTACATTCAAATAATCAAAAACCACATTTCCCCAATGTATAGAGTTGTCCCTTGGTATCTGTAGTGACTGACTCCAGGACCCAATGAAGATAACAAAATTCACAGATGCGGAAGTACCTAACATAACATGGTGTGGCACTTGCAAATAAACTATGCAAATCCTCCCAGATACTTTAAATTATCTCTAGGTTAAAATACCTAATATAATGTAAATACAATGTAAATAGTTGTTATACAGTATTGTTCAGTGAATAATGACAAGAAAAAAAAAGTTTCTGTATGTTCAGTACAGATGCAACCATCATACATCTACCTATATCCTCTTTGTCAGCGACAAGATAAAATTTCTTTTTTCAAGTATTTTTGATCCACTGTTGGTTGACTATGCGGATGTAGAATCTGCAAATACGGAACCCATGGATACAAAGGGCTGATGGTAGTTATAAACAACAAAGTTAACATGGCTGAAGAGACCTATCTGTTATCACACACCCCTTAGAAAATCTGATGAAAGCTAAAGCTATCATCCCTTATAAACCTGAGATTCATACCTCCCCTTCACCAAGGGATCCATGGATATAAGCTAAGAATAAGCTGCATTTAAGTAATAAGACATACAAGAATCTTTCTAAATGGTCCATTCAATGAAAATACTGTTTCTTCTAACACATAATCACATGTCCTTCTTACTTACAGTTCATTTTCTCCTTAGTTTTTTTTGTCTAGGTTGGGTTATTCAATAAAAACTTCCCACTGTAGTAAAAGTAGGCCAGACATGAAAGGGGTCATAGATATTTATTACCTTTTTCAAAAATGACATATAGATGTGACATGGTAATTGTTAAGAGCACTAGCTTTAGAGTAGGATACAGCTAGGTTCAAATCCAGCTGGATCAAGAAAACCCCAAAATCCAGCAGGATCCTCTACTACAAACTTTATGATCTTCAGCACCTTAACTGCTTAGTCCTCGACTAACAAGCAAAACAGAGACAGACGCATTGATAAAGAGCAGGCTCACAGCTCAGAGAGCAGGGGTGGTTAGGGGGTGAAGGGATCGGGCAAAAAGGAAAAAGGACTCATGGACATGGACATGGACAGCTGTGTGGTGACTGTGTAAGGGAAGGAGGGTATAAAGAGACTCTACAGTAATAGGAAAAAATACAATAAAAATAAAGTTAAAAAAAACTGAGTATTAAGAATTTTTATCTTCTCTGAGGCTTACCAATGTTAACACCATTCTACTGCAATGATAAATCTGACAAGAATGACTGGAAGGTGAACCTGCCTTCCACCACCATCAAAAAAGATGCCTCCAGCTATAGTTAAAGCTTTTCATAAGCTTTCTCAGAATAGAATCTGTTACAAAACAATAAGGTGAATCAGTAACTCTCCGAACTAGAAACAGAGACACTGAGAGACCTAACACTTATTTTTCTAAAAATGGAGTAGAATGGTATGAGGAGGATATAGAGAAATCAATTTTTACAGTGAAAATACATTTAGGTTAAACCATTTTCCACTTTTTTCCCACCTCTTCCACCCATTCTTTATCAACTATTGCCACAACTACAATACACTGTCATGAGACATCAACTGCTACATATTTAAATTATATGCCTATTACATTATTTCTTCCAAGTTCTGGTCAATGCTGGGACAATATAGATCAGTCAGAGGACTGACTCAATCTAGCAATTCCTGAATTCATTGTTAAAAATCTCATGAGAAATAATCGGAACAAAGGTACTGTATTGTAAAACAATTTATCAGAAACAAGAAAACAAATGCTGCCATAGCACAGTATTACTATGTAGCACCAGAGATTTTGAGGGCCACGACAGACAGTAGAGTGATAAAGATGACAACTGAGACCTACACCAACATGATTGGTCAGGAGGGGCCCATCGGAGGAGTTCATATGCTCTATGTCATTGTGAGAACCCTACAGGAAGAGCTCTGTGCTCACAATAAAGCTCTATGGTTGTCACTACCCTCCCCTTAACTCCCGTTTTCCCTTCCAAAAATACCTCACCATGCTGTGCAGTGTGTGTCACTGGGTTGCCATGTTTGCACGCATTGAGTTGCAACCCTTTGTTTTTCTCAATATATCCTTTTTGGTGATAAAACACCTAGTCAATACTGTTTTTCCATGGACAAAAGAAACTTACATCTTATAATAAAGGTACATAAAGGAGACCTTTACATAGTTGTAGTTACTTTTATAAGCTAAAAGTAAAGAGTAAAGTTAAAAATAATGCAACTGAATTTAACCTGGAACATAAACGACTCCTTTCCCATCACCCTGTAGATAAAAATAAACTAAAGCCTCAAAGAATGCATGACTTAGCAAAGATAACATTGTTAGTGGTACTGTTAGAACTAGAGTTTAGAGTTCCTGATACTTAGTTAACCAAAGCACTACACTAAACATGAATTATTACAGGGAGATACAAACATCACACATATTAAATACAGCACCTTGCAGTCACATTACTTCAAATAATCATGTTAAAATTCAGCCAGCAGTAACAAGCTAGACTTCCAAAGCCCCAAACTCAAAAAGCAGTATCCATTACCTCTTTTGTCTCCTCATGTAGTCCACAACAGCAAGCATCGTTCTTTGTGATTTTTTACCCAAGCAACATCGGGAAGAGTGCTCTGGCTCTGACAAACAAACAAAGATGCCTCCTCTCAGTCCCAGGTGGACCTGCTTAAGCACATTCTCCCTTTCTGACCATCTAGAACTCACTAGCCTAAGAGACTCCTGTTACAGTGTGATAAATGCTGTAACAGGAAAAGTTTAGAATACCACAGAGGAGTATAGAAAGGAACATAATCTCAAGAGAAAAAGTTTTACAGAAAAAGTTAGATCTGAAAGAAGAGGAATAGTTCTGCAAGAGAAGGAAAGGACAGTGTTCCAGGTAGCTGCGAAACTCCCTAAGATGGCTGGAACAAAAAAGAACTTGGAGAAATACTGAAAGAAGTTCAATATGGCTGAATTACAGAGACATAAAGCAGTAAGGATGCTGGGGAGAAAGAAATTCATGGACTAAAGTTATTTATAACACAGAATTGGCAGGATTTGGTAATGAGATGGGGCTTGTGAGAGAGATTTCTGGCTTGGGCAACTGTATGACATTCATTGAAGAGGTACACATTAGAGAAGCAGGCTAGGGGAAGGAATGAAAATGGTAAGTTTCCCTTTGACAGTTGAGTAGAGAAGCACATGGGACATTCTAGTGAAAGGAGTGAGACTTACATCAGAAAAGATAAATCATTAATTTGACAGAAATCTGTGTTTACTTTTTCATAATAGAATTTTACACATAAGGTTTGAATTTACAGTTAAGGCAATGAAAATATCAGCATTCTACCCAGAAATAAAATAAAACTGGCTGATTTTGCTTTTGAATATTTGTAGCATAAAGGTGTATGTACAAAGAATAAACGTGAAAACAAGTCTTGACCATGTTCATGATAATAAACTTTCAGGTTATAATAGGTAGTGATTATATTAAACTTGGTAAACAATAAAATTATATTTAATACTGCTTTAAATTATGTAATGTTTAGGTGCTTACTGGTAAGTGTGAATTACTTATATCTGTATTTCCCAGATTAACAAAAGGAGATACAGTCTAGATCCTTTTTGAAGCCTCTATGAGAATTTTTATTTTAGGACTTTCATTACAATGGCGTAAAAAAATTCATATAAGCATATTCTGGATCATTTACATGCTCTATTTATAATCCAGTAGAACCACAGAATGGCATTCATATCTATGTTTATAATTATAATGATTTCAAATAGTAGATCTGTAATTGCTATTAGCCAATGGAAAAGAACATACATAACATATGAAGCAGAGTAAAGTGAAGTCTAAATGCCATTGCCATCATGTCAAATTAAATTTGTACTAGTGAAAGTAAAAAAAAAAAAGAAAAAAAATATATTTGGCGGAACTGAGTAATCAAGATATATGCTAAAGTAACTAGCCAAGTCTAGGAAGACAAATACATTAAATTAATATTTCTCTTAGAATTATATTGGTCTTAAGTGAATTTGTACGTAGTTTTATGTTTGCACAAAATACATTAATGTTATATTAAAGAGAATAAGTTAACATTTAAGGATCTATGAATTTTTTTCCTTTTATTGAAATTTAAGTTTGAAAAACCTGACCTATGAAATGTGCTCAACTGTGCATATACATATGATGTGAAACCAATTCCTGATGGAATTTCTCCTGCTATGAGCTCTTCTTAGCAGAGGACATACTTACATACTATGAAAAAAACTAGGTTATAAAAGTAAACAGGGGGAGGTGGGGATGGTGGGGCAGGGGAAAGTGGTGGCGGGTAAAGGGAGACAAATGTATTTGAAAAATTTAAAAATAAATAAATAAGTTTTTTTAAAAAAGTAAATAAAGTATAACCTAATTTTTTTTAAAAAACTGGAAAAATACATAACAAATGTTAACTATCATTATTATAGATCATAAAACTATGGATAATTTTGTTAATATACTAATTTTTCTATACATTCCACAATAAATGATTTTGTAACAAAAAACAGCTATTTTAAAAAATGAGTACTCTGGTTTCTCTTCAAAACAAACAAATCTTTTGCCTTTTAAAAAATGGGTTGAGCTTTCATAAAAAATATGGTCAGAGCTTTAATATGAAAATTCCACCGTATCTCCAACACAGTACCTATAATAGTGGTCTGCACATTTGTTTACTTTCTCCTATGCTAGAATATAGGGCGTGTCTTGTTCACATCTATCTTGCCAGTGTGAAGAACAGTGCTTGACACATACTGAATGCTCAATGAGCTGCTCCATGATGAATAGGCAAAATTTACTGAGGGAATACTATCCATCAAGCATTATCTTAGGTGCTATAAATACATTATCTCGTTGAGAACTTGTTATAATTTTTACCTCCATTCTATAGATGAAAAAAATAGATATTTAGAGATTATGAAATGGAGCCTACAAAGCATCTTGATAAGATTCAAATAAAGCTATTTTTCTCTAGAACTGAGATGTTAACAATGTAAATGTGAGAAATTTAACAGAATACCTGAATCCAAACTTGCAGGGGTCATGGATCTGTTCGTTTGTGAGGAGTATCTGAAACAGTTAGTGAAAAATCCCTGAATGTGTGTAGAAAGCAGATTTCTCCATGATGCATTCGTATCTTGTAATAAAATATCATGAATCAAGTATGGAAGCACGGTCTGACAAAAGTCAGCTTTCACCTAGAATACACAAACACATCAATAGTTAAAAAAAAAAAAAAAAGTATACATTCAAAACTTTATGTCCCAGCTATATAAGGTTTTATTTTTTTAATATATATTTTATTGATTATGCTATTACAGTTGACCCATTTTCCCCCCTTTTTTCCCTCCACCCTGTACTGCCTTTCCACCCATCATTCCCCTCCACATCCTTAGTTCATGTCCATGGGTAGTACATATGAGTTATTTGGCTTCTCAATTTCCTATACTATTCTTAACCTATCCCTGCCTATTTTGTACCTACTATTTATGCAGCTTATTCCCTGTACCTTTTCCCTCATTCTTCTCCCCCGCTCCCTGATCTCCATTTCTGTGATTCTGTTCCTGTTCCTGTTCCAGTTGTTTGCTTAGTTTATTTTTGTTTTGGGCTTTTTCTAGGTTCAGTTGTTGATAGTTGTGAGTTTGTTGTCATTTTACTGTTCGTAGTTTTTGATCTGATTTTTCTTAGATAAGTCCCTTTAACATTTCATATAATAAGGGCTTGGTGATGATGAACTCCTTTAACTTGACCTTACCTGGGAAGCACTTTATCTGCCCTTCCATTCTAAATGATAGCTTTGCTGGATAGAGTAATCTTGGACGTAGGTCCTTGTCTTTCATGACTTGGAATACTTCTGTCCAGTCCCTTCTTGCCAGTAAGGTTTCTTTTGAGAAATCAGCTGATAGTCTTATGGGAACTCCTTTGTAGGTAACTGTGTCCTTTTCTCTTGCTGCTTTTAGGATTCTCTCATCTTTAACTCTGGGTAACTTAACTATGGCATGCTTCGGTGTGTGCTTCCTTAGGTCCAACTTCTTTGGGACTCTCTAAACTTCCTGGATTATTGCAAGTCTATTTCCTTGGCCAGATTGAGGAAGTTCCCCTTTATTATTTTTTTCAAGTAAGTTTTCAATTTCTTGCTCTTCCTTTTCTTCTTCTGGCACCCCTATGACTCAGATGCTGGAATGTTTAAAGTTCTCCCAGACGTTTCTAAGCCTCTCCTCATTTTTTTTGAATTCTTGTTTCTTCATTTTGTTCTGGTTGAATGTTTATCTCTTCCTTCTGCTCCCCATTGTTGATTTGAGTCCCGGTTTCCTTCCCTTTACTGCTGGATCCCTGTATATTTTTCTTTATTTCACTTTGCATAGCATTCATTCACTTTTTCCTCCATTTTGCAACCATACTCAGCCAATTCAGTGAGCATCCAGATTACCAATGTTTTGAACTGTGTACCTGATAGGTTAACTATCTGTTCATCCCCTATTCCATTACCAGAGCTTTTATCTGTTCTTTCATTTGGATCATATTTCTTTGTCTCAGCGTACCTGTTACGTTGGAAGGGGCGGAGCCTTAGGCATTGGCCAGGGCAGGGCAATCCAGGTGGTTGCATTGTAATGCTGTGTATAGGGGAGGGGTCTGAGGGAACAATGCCGCTTGCTCAGCTCCCCGCCCGCTTTCAGTCATTTCCCCTCTACCCACAAGCATATTGGGCCCTTCTGGTGCTGATTCTCAGTGGGTGGGTTTGCGTATGTTCTAGGACCTTGTAGGTCTCTCCAGGGGACTCTCCTGTGAGACTGGGAGTTTCTCCTGCCACTGCAACCCCTACAGATTTTTACAGCCAGTGGTTTTGAGCCTTTCTTTTCTTCCACTGGAACCCTGGCTTGTGTGGTCTGACTCGCTACCCAGCTATTCCTCCCCATTTATCCTCAGGCAAATGTGGGACCACCTAGTCCTCCAGCCGCTGCTGTGCCGTGTGGCCTCTCTGCTGCAGCTGTCTGTCTCTGCCCCTCCTACTGTTCTGGATGAATGTATCTTCTCTAGCTCCTTGGCTGCCAGGCTTCTATATAGTTCAATTTTCTGGCAGTTTTAGTTATTTGTTGTTTTTAAATTTGTTGTTGTCCTTCTCTTTGTTGTTCAAGAAGGCAAAGTATATCTACCTATGCCCCCATCTTGGCTGGAAGTCCTATATATAAGCTTTTAATAAACTGATAGATGAATATGATGTAAAGTCAATATACTACTAAAAACATACAAAAAATATGTATACCAGATAGTGTTTCTTTTTAAGAAAAAATTCAAACATACTTAGAAAACCTATATGAAACATATGTTGTTAGTTATAATGTTAATTGCTCATTTCCAGTCTAGGCCATTTTCATATAGTGAAACAATATTGCTTACAAATGAAATTATGTCACTGCTGTAAATAAAATGGTAAAGTTGAAAAACGTTAATAGTAACACAAGTTCTCACATTTGATATAATAAAAAAAATAGGGATCGACATTTATGAAAGCTGAAAATATGATTTTTGCATATTTGCTATACTCAGTGATTAGTTAGAACAGCCATTTTAAAATTTGTATTTTTTAAAAACCCCAATTTCTGGGTAGAAAATTTGAGTACTTATTTGTGGTATAATCCCAAGTATTAAAAAAATGCTTTCATATGTCTGATACACTAAAAGAGTATTCAATCTTATTTTTCCAAAATACCATCTTCATATAATCATCACAGGCCACACATACAAGAGTGGATGTAGATTACCAATTTCCTTGTTACACTAAAAACAAGGCAAAAAGCCACCTTTGGAAAGAAAGAATTTGAGGAACTAGGAACTGAGGTAGACGTAAATGTGTATTTGGAACATTTTATCTTCTGGCCCAAAGTCAGAATTCTATAAATGTCTTAGGTGTGCTCACTAAGGAGGAATAAGCTAAGCGCGTGTCCAGGTTTTCACTCTGTTGACCTGGTAAGTGCAGAGCAACACTGCAGACAGTGCAGTAATTGACTCATTCTCAACACTTTCTCTGTGAGAAATAAGGACAGCGTAGTAAAGTGCTTTCATTGAGTGCGCCTTACCAAAATACTCACTTCTCTAAGAGCTATCTGTAATTGGTGGATGTTACTTTCTCAGATATATTGTTTTCACATTTCTGGTGAATCATGCTTGGCAGTACTATAAACTAGGTAGACTTTCAAGTCTGGGAGCACCATTGTAGTGTTGTTTTAGGTGACATATTCGATGACAGCATGTAACATACTCTGATTTGCTAAGTACCTATATTCTCTATCGAAATAAATTGTACTTTCTGAAATAAAAAAGCAATATTAATTGCTACACCATCTCCTTTACTCATTCAAGTAAGCATATCAGGGAAAGTAAATGACAATGACCTTATAAAAAGGAGTAAACAAAAAAGAACAGACTTCTGCTTAATACAAATATTTACAGTCACCAGAATTTGAACTATTTGCTTTATGTACCCCTTAGAACTCATCCAGTATGTAAGCACCTCACAGCTGAAACCTGCTGCATAAAGTTGTGGCTGCATAAAGTTGTCCTGTTAGATGGAGTCACAACAGCTGAGTGTAGTTGTGTTGCATGAGGAAGACTGCCTGTACCACAGCCCTCTCTTTGCGTATGTTATAGGCTGCACACATATACACAGAAGCTAAATGGAATGGGACAAGCAAAGAAAATATTAAGAGGAAAAGCAAATGAAAAAAAACTAAGGTAGGAAGGGATTAAGCATGACTAAGTAGTCATTTTTACCTCACACATCGGCTTTAGTAATTGAAGAATTTCACTTTTTGTGCTTCCACTATCCAAAAAAGCACAAGTCAGTGTCTTTATCCAAATGTCATGATTTTCACTTTGAGGAATCCACAGGCTTGTATCATCCAAGCCCTCCAAAGGGTTTTCTCTATCAAGTCTGGGAACTTCTAAAAACTGAAAAAGAAGTGATCAGAAAATATAAATACAGTAATCAGGAATACATTTTACCTTTCTGATGGAGAAAGCAAACACCTAAACATAAACAAATCTATTTTCCAATAAAACTATATACAGTTAAAACTAAATCTGGAGGCCAGGGCTACCTTTAAATTTTAAAATACATTTAAGTTTACATGTCAGGCAGACTGGTCTGGTAAAAAAAATCACTGATCTAGATAGCAGAGAATGAGTTCTACTCTCAGCTCACTACTAGTAAATTATACAGATTACAAACTCTCTGCCTCATCTGTTTTATGTACAAATCCAGTCCAAATCTATTACATAGAATTGAGTTCAAGATTAAATCAGATTTTAAAATGTTGTAACTGTAGTGTTCTATAGGTTACATGACTAGTTTTATTAATAGTTTATATTACCACTAATTGCACTAAGACCAAAATTATATTTATGATAAATTAAAAGTGCTATTTCAACGATGGGTATATACCCTGACATTAAATTGGAAAAATTCAATAGTACATTTCTCAGGCACTTTATGAAAAGAAAATATTAAACAGGAACATTTAGAGAGTGGTGGTGCCTGGAAAGGGCATGGAAACTCCATGCCTCTCTCTATGCCTTGCCCTATGCATCTCTTTCATTTGGCTGTTTCTGAGTTGTATCCTTTTGTAATAAACCAGTAATCTAATCTTTCAGAAAACAGAAGAAGGAGAATCTTTTCCATCTAATTTTATGAGGCCAGCAAAACCACGACACCAAAACCAGACATTAAAAAAAGAAGTATTCAAAGTTGTGAAAAGCGAGGACCTACGTCCAAGATTACTCTATCCAGCAAAGCTCTCATTTAGAATGAAAGGGCAGAGAAAGTGCTTCCCAGATAAGGTCAAATTAAAGGAGTTCATCATCACCAAGCCCTTATTATACAAAATGTTAAAGGGACTTACCTAAGAAAAAGATCAAAACTATGAACAGTAAAATGACAACAAACATACAACTATCAACAACTGAACCTGGAAAAACGAAAACAAACTAAGCCAACAACTAGAACAGGAACAGAATCACAGAAGTGGAGATCACAGGGAGGGAGATCAGCGGGGAGAGGGAGAGAGAAAAGGTACAGGGAATAAGAAACATAATTGCTAGGTACAAAATAGACAGGGGGAGGTTAAGAATAGCATAGGAAATGGAGAAGCCAAGAATTTATATGTACGACCCACAGACATGAACTAAAGGGAGGGGGGGAATGCTGATGGGAATGGGGGTAGTGGGCAGAGGGGGACATGGGGCAGAAAAAAGAATGGAGCAACTGTAATATCATAATCAATAAAATATACTTAAAAAATAAACATCCCTGTTTATTTTTTACCTACTAAAAGAGAAGCAAGAGGTCTTAAATATCTTTCAGAGTACTTTCGGTGGAATCTGGTTATGATATCAACATGGAAAAAGGGAGATATCTATAGGTCGTCTTATATTCTGCTGGAGGGAGGTTAATACTTAAACTTGCTATAAATACTTGCTTGTTGATTTTAATATCTGATAACTACACCCCAGAGTAATGGTTTTTATGGGATCAGAGTCAGGATTTTTCACTCGTGAGAAAAAAAGGTCTTCATTAAGAACTCCTTCTTTACCCAAAACAATCATTACTTCTCTAGGCTGCCAACATGTCAGCTTTTCCACATTACCATTATTAAAAACACAAATCCCTTGGATTCAGGAAGTACAGTTGGAATTATTTCTAAAAAAGGTTAAATGTTAGTGTAACACTACTGAAGCAACTTGACATTCCTATCCCACAGTCAAAGAACTGTTCTAGAATAGCAAATATTCAATGAACATTTATTATTTGAGAGACCTTTTTCCTTGATGTTCTAAAAGGGTGTAGATAGACCAGCATGGGATCAGTTGTTGTCTTGTAAATCTCCCAGAAAGTATGACCAGTCTTTGTGGCTAAAATGTTTTTCAAACAGGTAACAGCGGCTGATCTCACTTTGACACTGAAAAACAGAATTAAAAATCCCATAATGTGTATCATAATTAATCCTGATGAATGTTAAAATCCAATAAAAAATTAAAATCTAAATACATAAATATATAAATCTTTTATAAACATATATTTATATGTAAATATATAAATATATAAATTTAGGGAAAAACATGTACCTATTAGGAAATTTTACATCAATAAAATTCTGTTATATCACAGCCAAAATTATCAAAGGATTTTTAATATCCTTTCAGTAAACCTGAATTACTCATCACTGCAATAGCAATTCCTTTCATTCAATAAAGTTTATATTATGACTATTGAAAATTAAAAGAACTCATAAAAATAAGTAAAATAACACTAATATAAATGAGTAATAAGAATGAGAGAATATTAATTCACCGGAGAAAATAATATTTTGATATTTTCTCCAAGAAATACAAATAATTAGGGGTAAGGCAGAATGATATTTCACTCTAAATGATAAAAGTATTCTCTAGAACAATTTTAAACACACAGTAAATGCACACCTATTGTGACCAAAAGCTACCTGAGAATTACTAAGTAAGGCATCTAAAACCTCTAAATAAACACTGAAGAACCTTCTCTTTTGAAAAAAGATTAGGAAAAGGAGGGCTGCAGTACAAGAGCATTGAAATATAACAGTTGACAAAAAATGTCATAAAGGCTGATACTGTAATAGGTGATGAGCTATCAAATAAAGGCCCAATTCCTTTAAGCTTCTTAACCTATCACACAGTAACATAAATTCTAAACTTGGACTCACCTTCCATTCCTCTCTATTTTCCTACTCCTCCATAGCTAATTAATCAGTAAGTCCTGCTGGCTATATGTTAAAAACATACCCTGGTTCCATCCTGCATTGAATATAGGTGGTAAGTACATGGGTATTATTGTAATATTCTATCAACTTTTGCTGTTCATTTGAAAATTTTTATTATAAAATGTGGAAATGAAACCATGCCAGCCTTTTTATTTTAACAGCAACAAAATAGAAACATGACCATTAAATCAACAATAAAAACATGGCAGGTAGACATTACTGTAAGCCATGTATTCCCCAAGAAAAAGGAGGGAGGGTTTGGAAGAAAACAGATGCAAAACACCTACTGACCTTAGATGCCCCGCTGTGGGCAAAAATTCTTCCAACTCACACCCCCAAAAATGGTGATGAGGTGCTCAAATATACCAAAAATAAATAAACAGATAGATAAGAAAAGGGGCAAAGAAAGAAAGCAAACATGATTTTATAACCACCAAGCTGAAACTGTTATAATATTTGTTGCTATTTTGTTTTGCAAAGAATAAATGGGTAAAAGATAACTGATTAGCTTGTTTTAAGTTGTGAAATTTCTGTTCTATGACTTATTTTAAAGGAATCAAAATAATCTAGCTGAAAAGAGTGGCACATCTGATTTTGACAAATGTCCCAAATATCCCACTTTGCATTTTCACACTTAATGATCTATGTAGAACCACCTGGCAATTTTCTTATTATCTGTTTGTCTAGTCTACTCTCACTAGACTTTCACATGAACCTTGCCTAGTATATTCATCACTATATCAAATGCCTGGTACATAACAGGGTTTCAGCAATTTCATGCATTAATAAAAATGTAACAATTTTCATTAAAATACCTGAGACTGAAAGATAAATATGGCAACCTAAAAGATAAGGCTTTAAAGGTACTGGAAACATTAATTTATGTGAAATACCATTCTCCTTGAATGTCAGATAAAGTAAATGCTACCAGAAATAAACTGTAAGTACTCACCAATCTTCCACCAGCGTATTATTCAGGTAGGTTAGCAGTGTGAGGGTCCACTGAAGTTCTTTAGCTTCAAATAACTCAAGGGCCTTGGTGTAAGATGTATCTTTACTATGTTGTATAGCTATCATAGAGAAATCTACAGGACCCACTTCTCCCAAGCAGCTGCCAACAGCCTCTACATGTAGAAATTACATTTCAGTAGAGTTAACAACTGAGATCATATGTAGAACAAAAATCTCCTAATTTCCAAAACAAAATGCCACTTTGTCATTCTTGAAGAGTTGTTTCTTGAAGATTTTGAATAAACTAAACAAGCTACAAAATGTTGTATGATTTCCTTTACCTATCATCCATATGGGCAATATTTTCCCTAAAAATTTATATTCAAGGGCTAGGTTAAATAGTAACAGAATATAGATATTAAAGAAAAAGTTTAAACATAGCTACTATATGAGAATATCAACAGACTTTAAAACTCACAAATGTTTTAGGTATAATGTATATAAGGACCACATACCTTAAACTCTCAGTTCAGCAAAAATTCATACATACACAAATGCATGCATGCACACACAGATAATTTTTCTTCCCATCTGTGTTATCACCACCCAGATGAAGATAATGTTTTCAGCATGCTGCAGGGCTCCCTCATGCTCTTTCCTAGTACTGGTTGAATTTATTAAAATAGGTTCACAAATATGTGATAGTCCTCCTTTCAAAAGGTGAAGCCTAGTTCTTCTCGAGTATGGACTGTCCTTAGTGACTCACTTCTAACAAACAGAATGTGTACAAGTCTCTTATCTCCTTGATTAAATTGACCTGCAAGTATTTAATTCTTAGGTGCTATTATAAATTAAATTGTAAATGAAATAAAATTTCCTTTTTAGATTGTTCACTACTGGTGTACAGACACACTACTGAATTTTGTGTGTCAATCTGTATCCGGCACCTTTGCTAAATTCATTCATTTGCTCTACTATAGTAGTTTTCTGGCAGATTCTCTAGGACTATATACACTGTAGAGATCATTTTACTTCTTCCTGTCCAATTTGAATACTTTTTATCTCTTGACTTGTCCAATTGCTCTGGCTAAAACTTCCAATACAATGTTGAATAGCAGTGGGAAGAGTGAGCGATTTTTTTCTCATTCCTGATTTGAGGGAGAAAACTTTCAATCTCCTAACACTAAGATGTTAGCTGAGGGTACAAAGATGTTGTGCTACACAGAAAGCCACTTAGGTTCTTGTAGCACATGCGGTTTGTTCCCAGAACCAGTACTACTGTGAACAAAGGGGTAAATTCCTTGGTTAAAGAAAACTTCCAGGCTGCTGATAGATCTGTCTTGGTCTAGCTGGGAGATATACAGGGGTGTTCTGCTTGTGAAAATTCTTCAAGTTATGAACTAATGATCTGTACACTTTCTTGATGTAAAATATATTTTAGTAAAAAAATTTACAAAAATTTAAGTACTCTAGATGTCAGATTCTCAATGAGAAGAAAGACTCCATTGAAAGATAGTAAGATTTGTGAAGCAGGTCTTATTCTTCCCATTTTTCTTATTTGAAGCATGCTGTCATGACAACTTCAAGCTGATTTTAATGTCATTTCTCCCTCTTCTGATCATCAAACCTAAACATATACACTTGGCAAAATACTGGCTGTTTATCTTACATTAGGTTACTCCCAAACAGTGATAGTAAAGAACTTGAATACAGTTTTAATATTTGACTTTAATCCAGTAGTCCAAGCCCTCATTTTTAATTCTTTTATGTAAAAAAATTGGATACCAGTCATTTATAATACATATCAGAAGTCAATTTATTTGACACTTTGCTACAAATAAGTGTATCTCACTTTCCTAAATTATTTACATGGCATTTTCAAATTGACAGTTATGCACATGTGTAAATGACTAAGTTTTGTGTGTGTGTGTGTGTGTGTGTGTGTGTGTGTGTGTGTGTGTGTCTAAGAAAGAAAAATATGAAAGGAGGGCAGCTTAGGGGTACTGGAACCAAACAGAAATACTACTTAGCTAGCATCTCACATTTCCCCAGTATTCCAAATGACGAACTTTTACTAGTTTTGAAAATATTATGAAATGACCATTGAAACACGAAAACTCATAGCTCATAGTCATTCAGCCAAAAAGTTTACCTAACACTTCTCTTTCACCAGTGTGGTTTAATGCCGTCTTGGATAACTGCAGCAAGTTGACAACTAGCTTCACCATTATGCCATCTTGTGGGTTATCTAGGAGAAGTTTTGAAAAAATTAAAACTATATTGGAGACAATACTTTTCTTTACAATATACTTACATAATAAAATTATCTAACTAGAAAACTTTTATTGTTTTTTGAAAAGGTTTTACATCATGAGAACTTCAAATATATTAAGTGATACCAAGCATATTCTCTGACCACAAAGCTTTGAAATTAAAAGTCAACTGCAAAAGGCAGTGGAACAAAATATGTGAAGATTAAAAACAAGCCCCTAAATAATGACTGGGTAAAAAAAAGAAATAAAAGGTGAGATCACAAGATATATAAAAACAAATGAGAATGACAATACAAAACTCATGGGCTGCAACAAAAGTGGTAATAAGAGGGAAGTTTATACCATTACAAGTCTGTATCATAAAACAAGAAAAATCCCAAGTAAACACCCAAAAGTATGTCTTAAAGAACTAAAAATAGAACCACAAAAGCAGCCAAAATCAGCAAAAGAAAGGAAATGTTAAAAATCAGAGCAGCCCTGTCCAGGTGTCTCATTTTGCTGGAGAGTCATCCTGTATACGGAAGGGTCATGGATTTGAATCCAGGGCAAATACCTAGCTTGTAGGTTCAATCCCCAGTTGGGGCACGTAAGGGAGGCAATCGATCAATGTTTCTCTCTCACATCAATGTTTCTCTCTTTTTCTTCCCCTTACTCTTTCTTTAGAATCAATAGGACTATCCTCAGGTGAGGATTGAAAAAGATAAAAAAAATATAAATAAAAATAAAAACTAGAACAGAATTCAGTGAAATAGAAAACAAAAAGACTATGCAAAAAACAAATGCAACAAATAGCTGATTCCTTGAAAAGATTAATAAAATTTACAAACCTCTGGTTACACTCAATAAAGGAAAAAAAGAGAAATCAGACAAAAATCATAAATGAAAGAGAAGTTACCACATACACCACAGAAATATAAAGAATCATACATATTATGAAAGACTATGTGACACCAAATTCAATAACCTAGAAGAAATGAGTTAAGTTCCTAAAAATATATAACCTTCCTAGACTGAATCATGAAGAAATGGAACATCTAAACAGACCAATCAGCAGTGAGGATATTGAAACAATCACGGAAAACTTCTCCAAAAATTAAAAGTCCAGGACCAGATGGCTTCACTAGTGCATTCTACCCAACATTCAAAGGCTGAATACCTATCCTTCTCAAAATCTTCCAAAAATTTGAAGAAGAGGCAATACTTTCTAACACATTTTATGAGGTCAACATAATGCTACTAATCATCAAAACCTGGCAAGGGTAACACACAAAAAAGAAAACTACAGACCAGTATATCTGATGAATACAGACACAAAAATCCTCAACAAAATAACAGCAAATCAAATACAACAGTACATTAAAAAGATAATGTATCACTGATCAAGTGGGGTTCATTCCAGGGGCACAAGGACGGTTCAACATATGGAAATAAATCAATGTGTACACCACACTAACAAAATAAAAATTAACAGTATAAAAATTATATGATCATATCAACAGATGCATAAAAAGTGCCTGACAGGATACAACATTCATTTATTATTAAAAACACTCAATAAAATGGGTATAGAAGAAAAAAACCTCAACACAATATGGGGCATATATGACAAACCCTCAGCTAATATTATATTCAATGGTGGAAAAAGAGAGAGCTTTTCCTCTAAGATCAGGACCAAGACAAGCATGCCCACTCTCACACTATTATTCCACACAGTACTGGAAGTCCTAGCCAGAGCAATCAGGCAAGAGAAAAATAAAGGACATTCAAATTGGGAATGAAAAAGTAAAACTGTAACTTTTTGTAGATGACATTATTCTTTATATAGAAAACCCTAAGATTCCAGCAAAGAAAAACAAATGTTAGAAACAATAACCCAATACAATAAATTTGCAAGATACAAAATGTACAAAAATCCACTGCATTCTTCACATTGGTTGAATGGGAACCTGGTGCATGACTCGCAGTTATGGAGGGCAACAAGAAGGAGGGAGATGGCGACAACTGGGCTGTAGCTAGTGCTCAGCTCCCACAAGGAAAAGCTGTGGAAGTACCTGATGACCTTCTACAGTGCAAGGTGGAGTGGAAGAAGGCAACCAAGGAAGAGATCAAACAGCGACTTAAGCTGGAGCAGAGGAGCTCTGGTAGGTGAGCCACCAGGAGCACTTGCAGAGGCCGAGAGAGAAAGAGGAGGTGCTGGAGGAGGTAAACTGCTCGGGCTGGTGACAGCAAAGTCAGAGTCAGTGCAGGGTGACCACTGCAACCACACAGTTCTGTGACCACCGTCAGCAACCTGGACTGCCCCGCATGAGCAAGGGGCTGGGCTGGGTGTGAGGAGGAGGTAGCCTCTACAGAGAAGCCGACCAAAGCCCTCCCCAGGCAGTCCAGGGGCCCCCTGCTATCCCAAGGGGTCTCCTCTCTCAGGGCATCTGCACCCGTGCCACACACAGTCACAAGAGAATCATGAGGAAACATCTCCAACAGCTGAAGGTCTTCACCAAGAAGATTACACAAGATTACAACTTGTATCAGCAAAATGCAGCACCACACAGTGGAGAGTGAGCCAGATAACCAGGCCAGACCCCAGTCTTGGCTTGAGAGGCTCTGTCCTGTTGCTGTTAAGTTGTCCCCGTAAACCAGTCTGCACAAATACCTGAGGCTTTACCCAAGATGGAGTAGGCAGCTGAGAACTAGCCTCCATCTGAAGGAGCCTTCAATGCCAAATCCGGACCATCTTCCTAAATGTATACCCCACTGGGCCTTCATTAGATTTGTGGGGGGAAAAATTCATCATGCTTGTTTATATTAACAGCAAAATTTCAGAAAAAGAAATGGAAAAAAAAATCCTTTTGCAATTACAACAAAAAGGATAAAATACCTAGAAATAAATTTAACAAAGGATGTGAAGGACCTATACCCAAAAAACTACAAGACATTAAATGAGACTGAAGAAGACACAAAGAAATGGAAAGATATTTCATGTTAATGAACTGGAAGAATAAACATAGTCACAATGGCCATATTATTCAAAGCAATACATAGATTTAATGCAATCCGAATTCAAAATCCCAAAAGCAGTTTTAAAGGAAATATAACAACAACAAAAAAATCATCAGATTTGTATGGACCCATAAAAGACCCTGAATAGCCAATGCAATCCTGAGAAAAAAGAACAAAGCTGGTGGTATCATACTCCCTGACCTCAAATTATACTACAAAGCAACAATAATCAAAACATCATTGTACTGGCAAAAAAAAAACAGACACAGAGACAAATGGAACACAACTGAGAGCCCAAAAATAAACCCACATGTATAAAGGCAAGTAATTTTCAACAAGGGAGCCTGAAACACACAGTGGAGGAAAGAAAGCCTCTTCAATCAATGTGGCTGGGAAAATTAGAAAACCACATGTAAAAGAATGAAACTAGACTATTATATATATATGTAAATTAACTCAAAATGAATCAACTACCTAAATATAAAACCTGAAACAATAAATTACATGGAAAAAAAGATAGGTATTAAAGTTATGGACCTTAGTCTTAAGAGAGAATTTTAATAATTTTACCCCAATAGGCAAGGGAAGTAAAAGAAAAAAATAAATGAATGGGGTTATACCAAACTAATACCTTCTGCACAGCAAAAGAAATCATCAACAAAATAAAAAGGTAACCAACTGAATGGGAAAAAACAGCTGCAAACAACAGCTCTGACAAGGGATTAATATCCAAAATATATAAAGAACTGATCCAACTCAACAACAAAAACATAAACAATCCAATTGAAAAATGGGCAGAGAACCCTAAACAGACACTTCCCCCACGAAGTCATACAAATGGCCAAGAGATACATGAAAAGATGCTCAACTTCAGTAGGTATTAGAGAAATGCAAATCTAAACTACAATGAGATACCACTTCACAGCTGTTAGAATGGCTATTATCAACAAGAGAAGTATTAACAATTATTAGAGAGCCTGTGGAGGAAAAGGAACTATCATTCACTGCTGGTGGGAATGTAAACTGGTACAGTCACTGTGGAAAACAGTATGGAGCGTCCTCAAAAAATCAGGAGAGTTATCTTATGACCCAGCAATTCCTCTTCCACTCAAAAAATTTGAAAACATTCATTCTCAAGCACATACATACATGTACGTTCACTGCAGCATTTTCATAGTGACTGAGACATGGAAACAACCAAAGTGTCCCTCATTAGATGACTGGATAAATATGTAGTACAGATATACAAAGGGATATAACTCTAGCATAAGAAAATATGAAATGCTGCCATGGATGGACCTTGAGAATATCATGCCAAGTGACCTAAGTTAGAAAAAGTGAAGAATCACAAGATTTTACTGATAATTGGGATATTAAACTGAAAGCAACATATGAACAAACAAGACAAACAAACAAAAACTCAGACACAGACAACAGTATTGTAGTTACCAGAAGAAATGAGTGTTGGGGTGGGGGGGTGTAGTAAAGGGTAGAGGGGTCAAGTTATGGTGACAGAAGATCTGACTTTGGGTGGTGGGCACACCATGCAATATACAAATGATGTATCATAGAATTGTACACTTGAAATATAACCTATTTTATTAACCAATGTCACCCCATTAAATTTAATAAAATAATGAAAAATAAAATGAAGTAAATGTATTTGAACTTCCTTATTAAAAAAATCCATGTAAAAGTGATCAGAACATCTGGCAAACAGAGAGTGAAAAATGTCGTAAGTTGTATAGAAAAGTTAATACCTCAGCAAAACCATAACGAAAACACAAAAATCATTCAACACTAGGGTAGAAGAAATCTTGGGAGAATGGCTGGTTTTTAACCTCTTGCGTTCTGTCTATACCAGCACTGTCAAATGGAATTTTCTGTAATGACAGAAATATTCTGTAATCTGCACTGTACAATGACAGTCACTTAACTACATGTTACTGCTGAGAACTTGATATGAGCTAATATGATG